GGCAGGTGTGTCACTTTGCTGGTATGCTTCGGGAAAAAAAGCACATGAGAGAGACCTGCCGGCGAGAGTGGAAGCTCGTTTCCCCGAATTTCGGCTAGGATTTTGAACGGGGTTCGGCCACAGCTGTACAGGACAGGCTTGTCCAAACTGTCGAGACTGTCTTTGCTTTCCAAGGACTCCAAGGGAGCTGGCCTATACCAGCAATACGGGTCTGTTGGTTGACACATCTTGAAGTGCAACAACGGAAGCTGAATATGGTGGGTTTCGGAGAGAGATTGCTGGTTGATGGAGGTTATGCTCTTTACATTACTCCTTATAGAGACTGAACGAATTGAACTCAAATGGTTGAGACAAGACTTCGCAGGGCTTCTCTCAAGCCTGTTTCTATCTCAACATTGGGTGTCGCCTGATTTTTTCTCATTGGCAAGTGGCCTATGCTGGTGCAAACTAAGCCTCATAAGTCATTTTTTAGTCCAGGTGTCCTTCACTTGTGACTGACATGGAGTCTCCCTCCGTATGCATGACTAAAACCGGGCTTCAATTTCCAACCCAATAGCAATCACAGAGTGAACAGATACTTCGACTGATGGAGCTTGGCCTCGATGGGTTCCAGATTCGCTGTGGCATTTGCATCATCACGACTCACATGTCACGCCGGTTTATGGCCCCAAAGGAGTCGCGAGGATTATCAATCCGCCAGCTGGTTGTCTAACCCAAAAGGGTATATGCTTCAACTGCTCCACTTAACCGTTGCCTGGCACGCCTGGTCCCGAACTGGGATTCCTTGGATATCGACAAAATTGAGAAGCGTTTGCTGGACTTGGTTTTATTGGGATTCGAAACCTTGCTTGTACCTTGCCTATACACATGTACTCCGTAAGTGGTCCAGGTAAAAATGTATCATCCTTCAGACCCTAGCCCAGCCCAAGCCAACGTAGTCTTAAAGTAGGTATTTTTGTAGAATAGAACGAAGAAAACTCTGCATTGGGTTCGGCCGCAGACGAGATGGCCCCCTCGATGAGCCGCATTCATTCTGATGAGGTCGCGCTTCGCATGGATTGGCCAATCGGTTGCATTTGCAAACGAACCCCCTTTCTAAGAACAATCCCGTCGGCAATGTCCCAGCCGGCATATGTTTCGATGCGACACGGCCTTTGTACACCTTCACAGGGGTTGGCGACGTTGTTGGATCCTGCTGCCTACCGTGCATGTAAGTGAGGTACTAAGTGCAGATTTTCTCCTCCCCTACCTGATGCAAGACAGGTAAATTATTCACCTCTGCCAGTTCAAGGTACTTCATTTTAGCAGACGGAGGTCATTTCCGCACAGTACGGCTGGACGGTGCGCCCATCCGTGGTAATGGTGGCGTTATAGATGCATTGCAATTCGTTCTTCGACATATCAAACAACCTTGTAAATTGATCGTCACTCATGCGGTAACTAATCGGCATCTTGCCATGGCACACCCGGCATTTGCTCAGTCTACTAGCTCCACTGCACCTTAAACTCGGCAAACTCGACTCTCAGTTTACCCTTGGCATCTTTATCGGGTCTTGCAGCTAACGGACTGACATCCAAGACCCAATCGCCCTCATTCTCATCCACAAATATCCAACAAATTTTCCTCAATGGGATCTTTCTCTTGACGTTTCCATCCTTGTCCAGCAGCAAGTGGTGTACCCAGGCGTTCTTACCTTGGGCGCCTCCGTCTCGAAAAACCTCAATTGTTACGCTCTTCACATCCTCGTCATCGCTTAGGGTCAGAGGATAGAGGCCCCAGTCGGCATACCGGTCGCATGTGACTGTGCTCAGGTGTGGCTGGCCATCGTACAGCTCAATTCCCGTCTTGATCCATTTACTGTTTGGAGATGCTACATCTGAGGCTAGCCGCGGCACAAGAAGCACGCCAGATTGGTCGTAAGAGTGGGCCCAGGGAGCCGAGAACGTGACGCGAACTGAGAGGAAGTTCTTAAGAGGACCCGTGCTAGTATGAACGTTTGGGACTATGGGTACGTGCGATAGTCAGTACAAGTTGCGAGTAATAAAGTCTGAACACGATAGCCAACGAAGAAGCCCCAACTGAACACGTACGGCAGTGTTGGACTTAAGAGATGAAGAGATCAGGTTGACATTTTTACTCACTGTTCCACGCGTTGTGTCCGGGCTTTCTCCAGATGTCAGTGCCAGGGTCCGCCTGAACAGTGAATGGCGTTGTATCGTTGAAAGATGCCATTTTGGTTAAGTGAAGAACATGTGTGATTCGGGTGGTTTAGGATAATGAGAGTGTTGATATGCATGGGGGTGAGTGGGCTGACCGTTATTTATTTGTTAGATGCTCTGGGTTGCATCGGTTTCTTATTAAGCATAACCCCCTCGCACCAAGTCTCCATGGCACCAGGGTAGCCCGTATTAGCCCTGCGCGGGGCGTGTACCGATCGTGTCCTTTATTAAACAGTCCTTGGTCAGCTCCTTCAACAGACACTAGCTAGCCTCAATGAGGCCGAACGAGGGCCGATCCGTAGCATCCTGGTCGTGCATGGAATGAACGCTGCGCTGAGAGCTAAATCAAGTATTTTGTTCTACTCTAATATATGTATCTTTTTGCGTAGGGACCGTGTTTGATGTGAGAAGACTTGACTGACTGTCTTGACATGAAGTGAAGGTATAAGTTGGAGAAGGCATCCGAAACCACCTAGATAGATACCAATGAAACTACAGGAAAGTTCCATCGTCTTCCATCCTCAGATCTGACCTTTCGCTCTCACCTCGTCAAATACGCTGTCCACGACACGCTTGGCGCGAGAAACGATCTCCTCTACATCCGTAGGGGTGACGATGAAGGGCGGAGCAAGGAGAAAATGATCTCCGTTCCAGCCGTCGGCGCATCCCGTCGAGGAAAAGAGGCACACATCGTATCCCTTCTCGAGTCCACGAAGACGCATCCGACGAGCAAGGTTCAACGAAGGGTCAAGAGGTGCCTTAGTGGTCTTGTCTGCCACGAACTCGATGCACCAGAACATGCCGCGGCCACGCACATCGCCGACGTGCGGGTGGTCCTTGAAGGCCTGGCGAAGGAGGTGTCCGAAAAGGATACCCATGAGACGCGCGTTACGGACAAGGTGCTTCTCCTTGATGATGCGCTGCACTTCGACAGCAGCGACAACGTTGAGTGGATGACACTGATACGTTTGTCCGTGCTGGAAGGAGGCGCTGCCCTGCTTGAGGCCCTCAATTACGCGCTCGTGGATGAGGATGGCGGATATTGTGCCGTATCCAGCTGCGAGGCCCTTTCCAACGGCCTGGATGTCAGGAACTACGTTGTCATGTTGCCAGGCGTGCATGTAGCCGGTTCTTCCGAGACCGCACATGACCTCGTCGAAGATGATGAGAGCACCGTGTCGGTGGCAGACATCCTTCATGGCCTGCAGATATCCAGGCAAAGCCGTCACACAGCCGAGGGCCTGAGATAGTTAGCAAGAAAATTTGAAGAAGCAGAGATCAGGACAGAGCTTACTGTGCCAACCATCGGCTCGAGGATAAAGGCGCACACATTTTCCGGGCCTAGTCTCTGGAATTCCCCTTCCAGCTCAAGAGCAAGCCGTTCCACGTACTCCTCAACCGATTCGCCCCGTTCAAGCTCTCTGTAGGGGTGACAAGGAGACACATGGGAAACATTGTCGGCCAGGACGTCCATGAAAGGCTCCTTACGGGCCTTCAAGTCGCCAACGGCCAAAGTTCCCAGAGTACATCCGTGCCAGGAACTCTCTCTCGCGATAAACTTTGTGCGAGGAGCCTTGGGGTCTTTCTCGAGGAAATATTGCCGAGCAAGCTTCATGGCGCCCTCAACGGCCTCAGAGCCTGTTGGAAGTATTAGCTTCCAGCCTTAGGAATTCTATCAAAGGTCTGTTCTTACCAGAGCCCAGAAGGCATGCTCTCGATAACTGGCCATTCGTCGATTTGACCAGAATATCGGCAAGTTCATGAGAAGGATCATTCTGAAAGTAGCCTGGATGGGCATATGTGAATTTGTTCAGCTGCTTGATGATAGCGGTCTTGACCCGCTCGTTCCCATGGCCGATGGCAGAAACTGCTGCTCCACCGGTAGAGTCGAGAACCTTTTGACCATTCTTCAGAGTGAAGTAGAGTCCATCGGCCGACTCAACCGTGGGAGCTGAGGAAGGGTACACGCTCTGGTAGAAGAGCGAGTTCTCAGCGGGAACAATGTCGTCGACAACTGCGAGGGAGCCCATGATGTGTTTTGTGAATGTGGTAATAATAGACTGAATGGGAGGATATTGTTGAAGATGTGTGACTGTGATGTCTGGGCTGATGGGAGAAGAAGATAACTGCTTTGAAAATGTGATCTCTTGTGAACTAAATAGTCTGATATGATTCCTTGAGACGATGTACTCAGAGTCACTCCGGCCTCATTCGGTATCTAGACACGTACACTCATCCTCCAAGCCCCGACCTCGCTTCTAACTGCGTATGATTCAAATGCCTCAAGCAGGGGCTGTTCCATCATCCATGAAACTTCACATTGCATTTTAGGCAGCTGTCTGCATCCAATCACCTTTCACTGGTTACTTACAGACATGGATGGTACTTTGGCGGTGACTTGTTTGGATATTCACAGATGTCCCCCCGTTTGATATTCACGAAAATCTGGAGTCATTCGTCATTTCCTAAAGACTCAGCTCCAACTTTCGAGTCTGGAGTAGGCTATCACAGCAGTTGACTAGCTGCTTATGGCCTATACGAGCTTGTGTAACAAAACAAAAACTTGAGAATCTGGGCAAATTATTTGCGACCGGCAGGACCAGCAACATTACATGTGAACAACTTCTGATTTTAGATGGCCAAGTCAGTAAGTGTGCCTAGCTCTCCAATATCGCAAGTGTACATGGAGGCACATTGAAGGTTGCTCACAAAATTCGTCATGAAGTACCCTCGATTATCTGAAACTTGGAAGCTTTACGAATAAGTGAACAAACGGCAAATCTCCGTAAGCCATCCTACAGTCCCGTTTTGAAAGGCGGAACAAGTATAGTGCTGACGCATTGGACACACGCCCATTGCTCATCTCACAAGTAGTATCCCCTGTTCGGAGATTTTCGACTCAAGGTCCACTAAGCGGCAAAAGTTCACATCTGAAGTAGACATCGTGTGTCGCTTGAGTAGTGTTGAGGTCTGTACCTTAGACAGGTGGATAACATATGCGACGGCGAAGTCAGTGTCAACTGTCAAGGCATCATAGTGGATCAAACGTTTGTGATGTGATAGCTTCGTGTCCTCAACCAGGCCGAAGAGAATGTTTACCGAGAGCAAGTTAGCTCAACAGCAAAATTATGCTGATAATCGTAGCAGGGCTTTAGATCCCACTGTCGCCTTGCATCCGGTTCACCTAACTTCAAAAAGAAGAAGCCACTAGTGACGTGAGTTTCGGGCACATCCAAGTGCCCGATGGTCCCGGGTTCCCCGGTGTGATCCTTTCTTCCCACCCCCACGGGGATGAGACCCCGGCGTTAAGGGTGGTCCTTGATGACAGACAAATATCTTACTCATCTCAGAACCGGAGTTCCCATTCAGGGTCCACAGTTATGCGCACTGTATCTGGGACTACTAGCAAGGCACGCAGGCTAAGGTAGATGCAACATCAAGGCTGGAAGTCATGAAGGTTTCATGTTCGTGCAAGGAACGGTCCAATTTCTTAGCACGCTGTCGAAAGATAGGTCCCTGGAGGCTCTGCATCTACGTTGCAGTCAGGAATACTACCTTGCCGTCCGGATGTAACCCTCTCTCGGGTATTCAGCAAGGTTACCGTAGATCTCATAGATACTCCTTGTACCAAAGATCCTGCACAAGTACCACATTCGCCTTGAAGCTTGTCACATTCGGTACCCTTTAACTGGGACCTATTGGCGCTTACTTGTTTAGGAAAAACATGTTTAGTTATGTTTTTCTTCTTACGAGCAACCCCGCAGTGAGCCTGACAAATGCCTTTTCCGGTGAACCATTCGAGGTCAATAGGAATTATCTCATACTTCCAGTCCTTCTAGGTGGACCAAACCTTCTGAGACTTAGGCGTGTTAGGCGCTTACATCCGACCCCTACCGGTTCTTTACTCTGGCGCACCTTCGTCACCGACTGCGACACCTGAGTCTTGACAGATGGTGACACAGTTGGAGAAGTCCTTCATTGTTGATCTCGGTCCCCAGCCAGATTTTCCGCGTCTTGACTTCTATTCATTTTGTTTCACTTTCATTTTCGAATTTCACCATACACTTGCTTGCTTGGTGAACTCCGGGTTGTTTTTTCTCAATCTCGAAACTCTCTGCAACGCCATGGCAAGCATCATTGTGACCGCAGCTGCACCAGCTAGTGCACAGGCTGAGATACAGCCCATCTCAGACCTTCCTCAGCACGACGAGGAAAAGGCTGGTCAAGCACTTGCGACTAGAGAGCATGGGACTGATAATGGTAATCGTTCTGACGTATTTGACACTGTTCCTATCTTACAGCGATGGAACTCGCCTCCCATCAACCGATATCGTACTGCGGCGACGTTCTGGTCTTTTGTGGTAGTAGGAATGAACGATGGCTCATATGGCGTAAGTCCATGCTCGAACTCATTGACTACAGTCCAATGAGCTTATGAACATCTTTTTACTTACAAACTTTGCCAGGCTTTGGTTCCTCTGGTATTTCATACCTCAGCTTACTCCGTCGCTCAATACAGCAAGTCTCACTCACGAATCCTCCAGTTAGAAACGCACTACGATCTCAACCATACGGTGGTTTCCCTCATCTTTCTTTCCCCTTTTGTGGGATATGCCATTGCATCTGCAGTGAACAACCTCATGCACGTTCATTTTGGTCAGAGAGGTGTGGCGTGTATTGCTCCCTTGTGCCATTTGATTCCGTATCTTACTTTCTCTTTTCACCCGCCCTATCCTGTTCTCGTAAGTTCCTGCATTTCTTCAACTACTACTAAACCAGCTCATTATTTTCATTCGCATGTAGGTTGCCTTATTTGTCCTCGTAGGAATGGGAAATGGTCTAGCAGATGCCGCTTGGTGTTCCTTCATAGGGCAGATGGCAAACTCACATGAGATGTCCGGCATTCTACAGGCCTGCTACGCTCTTGGGGCCACTATCGCTCCTCTCATAGCCACCGTTCTCTCTGGGGAGGGCCAGCCAGGCTGGTTCGCGTTCTACTACGTCATGACTGCAGCCTCGGCAGTCGAGTTTATTACTTTGACTGCCACGTTTTGGACTCAAACAGGCGCTGTCTACTTGGCTGAAAATCCCACGGAGTCTGGAGGCAAGTCAGGCCGAACTCGTCAAGCCTTGAAGAACAAACTATCGTGGATCTTCGCATTCTTTGTATTTGGATATTGCGGTGCTGAAGGTAAGATATCTTCCAACCCCTTCCTCGAATTCGTCGTGCATACATACTCCTTATTCAACGCTTTAGCTGACCAAATATCTGTTACGTTGGTAGTTGCCCTCGGGGGATGGATAGTTGTCTTCATGACTCGTATCCGCGGCGCCACCTCGGTCACTGGCGGAGCAGTAGCAACCGGCTTTTGGGGCGGCATGACAGCTGGGCGACTCTTTCTTTCTTTGGTGACAATTCGCCTGGGAGAATTCTGGGCCATGTTTCTTTATCTTGGTGTAACCATTGCGCTTGAACTCGTCTTCTGGCTGGTGCCCAACCTGGTCGTAAGCGCAGTGGCAGCAGCATTGATTGGTGTAGCAATGGGTAAGTCACCATCTCAAGTTTCCAAGACCTACTTCCGAAACAAGAAGATTGTGGACTAACTGTGATATTGTAGGCCCAATGTATCCGGTGGCCGTGGTTCTCATCACCAAAGTCATGCCGCGCTCACTTCACGTCGGCACCATTGGATTCGCCGCCGCTTTTGGTGGATCAGGCGGAGCTATCTTGCCGTTTGCTGTCGGCGCCATTGCGCAGGCCAAAGGTGTGCAAACGCTTCAGCCAATTGTGCTTGCAATCTGTGTCGTTCTCGGCCTTTTGTGGGTATTGCTTCCTCGTCAGCCAAGACAGAACAAGGAAGCGAGCGGAGAAGAAGTTCTGGCCCTGCATTAGACACTTAGTCGTGGCCGGTATCCGCAATGGACAACCTTATTTGGGACTTCAACAGCAGTCCCAACTATATAAGGTCTCAAGTTCGAATAAGGAAGGTGCACGTCTAGAATGAACTTAGCATTTAGATTACACAGGCACATAGATAACGGATAGAAATTGGACACTTATCCACATGCACTTTGTACACTTGATGTTGGATGGGAATCCAAATGTGTGGTGCCCTCGATGTGATATTTTCCATGTTCGTTGCAATTCGGATGTTTATTTGGTCAACTTTGGCACAGCTACATATCATCTTTCCTCGACAAGTGCTCAAGATTTTGTCAGGACATCGCGGCAACTTGTCTGCATGGGATCAATCGTCCTTATTGAGAGGTTGGAGATCGACTTTTTGGGAGCAGAAGCGTTTTTGTGATTTGTCACAATAACAATTTGAATAGATGAATGATGAAAGCTGTGGAACGCGGTACTTGAAGTTCGATTTGACATTGAAATAAGCATGTCTGATTCATGGCACGTTGACAGGTTCCCTTACAGCCGTCTACTTATCTCCGGAGATATCTTATCTTTCCAAGGCGGAGTTCTCTTGTTACCCTTCACAGCAACTCAGTTTCAATCTGATGAAGTAAATTAGGAAACTCTGTCCAATTGCTCATAATCAGCTTGCATCCAGCTTTCTCCAACACCCCTCGCAGTATATCCGCTTCTTCAACATCCTCGCAGGCACCTGTGTACCCAATCGTAATGATACCTGCCCGATTCGCAGAAGTCGCACCAGACCGGCTGTCCTCAACCGCGATGCACTCGGCCGCAACTTTACCCATGGTCTTCAGAGCGTGGAAGTACACCGCCGGATCAGGCTTGGACGTAGGAACAGGCAGCGAGTCGGCTGCGCTGAAGACGTCACTGGGGTGGAAGAACGTGGCCTGCCCAGCCTTCTCGAGCGACGCACGCACACGACGCAGTGCAGACGAGGATACGACTGCAAGTTGATGACTGCCGGCAGCTACCAGCCGTTCGAGCTCAGCATTGGCTCCCTCGCACGACTGGAGTTTCTCTACGAGATTGGAGATGACACGATCGTCTTCCATGCTGGCGTAGTCCTCCAGCTCAGCATCGGAGATGTTGCATGAGACGCCATAGTTGACCTCTAGCGAGCGCATCTACAGATTCCGTTACTCAAGGCCCAATCCAAGCAAAAACATCTCCACTTACCATGGCTTGAAAGCTCTGCCCGACGAACTCGCGCTGTAACTGGCGGCCCGTAAAATGGAGATCGATATTGCGAGCAGCAAGAATCTCGTTGGTGAGCTCTGCGCACGCCTCAAATGCCAGAGTCTCGGACTGGACGAGCGTGTTGTCGCAGTCGAGGAGCAGAGTGGTGATCTTCTAATGACATATTTGAGTACAGTTGGTCACAAAACGAATGACAGGAGAAACTTACGTTTGTGCTGCGAGATGCCATCTTTACAAAATTTCGTGATGTTGTTCTGACAGAGGGTTTCGCTACTCAGCGTGACCTTGATGAAGATTGTAGGTAAACAGAAAATTCACTGATGCTTCGCGTTGTATACAATCACTCTGTAAATGTCGAGTTTGTGGCACAGCTCATGTAACGTAATAATGGCTCTTTCCTTAAGGAGATGTATTTTTCTAGGTCACAACCAGACGGTTTCGGTGAGTTTCACTCCAGGCCCCTCGATCTGACATAGTGAATATGCCGACACTACCAAGGCTTTCCATGATACGAACTTCACGTTCCGACTTGGTCCGCGCCGCGAAGAAGCCGATAGAAACGCGAGGCTGGTCCACTCTTCTCGGTCATCGCCAATTCGTCACATCTCGGGCTGACGCGGACTTTAGCGCATCACGACATCTTCGCCACATTTGCAAATGAGCACTTTGATAGACGTCTTTTGTTTCTTTTTCGACCCGTTTGATCCTACTGAGACTGTGAAATGACTAAGGTACCTCACAGTGACTTTGGCTATACATCTTGTTGACGTGGAGAATATTATAGACTCACCCCGCGCTAGTTTGCAAGCCCAATTATGCTTAGTAGCACCCTCTGTGTATGTAACTGATAGAACTTGAACCGGGATCGGGGTCACAAATCCTAGCCGCTGCAGGGGAACATTTTAGGTGAATCAGGAGCGGTATGAAATGCCCAAGCTGTGGGGGTTTTTCGAGGTGAATTCCACTCGGGTGAATTTCCCCTAGACTCCTGCTCCACGCGGTTAGGCAGGCTGCAGGATTTCATCCTTGCCAAGATCCTTCAGCCCGCCTTGCTGCGCAGTCCAAATGCTTGGTATGTGATTGGCTCCGCGTGCTGACATTCGACATTCACCGCACTGAATGGACCTTGAAGCGCCTTTTAGGAGCACGGAGCCATGAAAAATGGCGTACCATCCTGCTTTTCCTTAATCGGCAAACATCGGGACATCAGGGGACTCGGGATGCAGACATACTCAGCTTTGTGTCACCCACCCTGGTGGTTTGCCTAGAGTGGATGACGGAGGCAGGTCAAATTAGTCAATGAATTTACATCCAACTTCTAGGTCTGTTGGTATACACGTCAGCAGGGGCCTGTGGGCCGGTACGAAGCTCAATAATCTTGGTATTGAACTGCGTATATCTGTGTAAGGAGGAAGTTGGTGGGCGTAGCCCACGATTACTCCGTTGGGTGTAAGTAGGTGGAAGCGCCGTTTGCAACGGCCCAGAACGCCTTCCAAATCCATCCTTTTCTGCCGTCAATATTCCAACAAGGTCTGGCTAGGCGGGGAAATGGCATCAAGCGGGAAGTACCTTGTATCCGGTGTCCCCGAATTTCTGGCTGAGACACATCACACGGATTCGCTGCTCCTCTCACGGGAGTAGGGACGATCAGCACGGTTTTGGAACAGGGAATCGGGGCCATAATCGATTATATTCACGCAGTGAGCCCAGTAGCCTCCTCTTCATGTACCCTATCTTTACCGGGGCTGGCAAGGATGTCGGCATCGGGTCGCTCTCTATTACAAGATGACAAAGGCTACCTTGCAAGTAGTTGAATAGGCAACGTACGACTGTGATGCTGACCGAAGCTTACGAGTCTCCGGTGGTACTATGTGAGTTTTGAAGACAGTGTTCGATGCACGGAGGAGGCTTTCTCTTGTCCTGATCCATGCCTCTTAGTTTTCGTCGTACATTGTGACCGAAAGGTTACCTAGAATTGCCTTGCTTGGACATAGGTGGTCGAGAGAGGACCCTGCAAAGTCGGCGTGCTTCTGGATCAGCGTGGATTCAGATCCCTCGTTTATTTCGACGAAGAGGCTGGGAAATTCGGAAGAGAACGATGCTTCAAAATGCAAGAATCGAAAGATGAAGTGAAGACTCCGGCCGAGAGTGAAGCCCAATGTCGTGGAGAAGAAAATCTCTATAAGAGGTCACCATGTCAAAGCCTAGACGTACCATTTGAGTCTTTCAAGCTCGTAAGCTCCCCTCTTCTGTTTTCCACTCACTTCAATCATTTCGTATTACAGAATGCGCGGCCTTTCTCATCTTTTGGCCCTTGGGTCTCTTGTTCAGTTATCCTGTGCCTTCAAGACTGCCCAGAACAATACAGGATTTTCCCTTGGTCTTGAATATGATTTCATCATTGTTGGAGGTATGTAAATTCTTCTCAAATCATTCATCGATCTCAAGGCTAATTCCGAGGTGAAGGTGGAACAACTGGTCTCATCCTAGCGGACCGTTTGAGCGAGTCTGGCGATCAACGAGTGCTGGTCTTAGAAGCTGGGCCTGATCCTAGTGTTGTAGCTATGCACGAGGCACCTGGTGCTATCGAATACATCGCGGGTAAGTTCATTATCATCTCCATCCAAGACTACGATTGTTCTAACGTCTTTTATCTAGGTACTGCGATTGATTGGAACTTTTACACTGAACCACAAGAGTATCTCGGCGGGCGAAAGCTTGCCTACCACCGTGAGTGTGATACTCCTTCATGACACTGTCAGCTTCTAACTTTTCAGGTGGCCGTGGTCTTGGTGGCAGCAGTATCCTCAACGGCTTGTACTATGGACGCGGTTCAGCCAATGTCTATGACCACTGGGTTGAACTTGGAAACCCTGGCTGGAGCTGGGAAGAGGTGTATCCAGAGTTCATCAAGGTTTGATCGAAACAAACTCGCACTTCAATGTGTCCTTTGAGCTAAATAAGTCGCAGGCTACCCATTTCAACCCGCCAAACAATGGAACTGGATACAACCAACGTTACCAGACCTGGGACCCGGCGGCATACTCCGATGGCCCGCTAGAAATTGGTTTCCAGGGTTTTGTTCCTCCTTCCAGTATTGCTTTCATTGAGGCTTGCGAAGCCGTGAACATTCCCATCGTCCAGGACTTGAACAATGGCAAGAACGTGGGCGTCAAGCAAGGCTCTGCTACCATTAACTCCAAGTACCGACGTAGCTCTGCTTATGACTACTACAAGGCCATCACCAACCGTCCAAACTTACTGATTCTTCATAATTCGCCAGTACAGTCCATTACTTTCATAAGGAATGCCACCGGCATTCCGGTAGCAAGTGGCGTGGTCTTTATTGACCACTCTCTTGGACGTCACCACGTCATCTCAGCCTCTAAAGAAGTTATTGTGACTTTAGGCACCTTTCAATCTCCACAAATTCTGATGGTTTCGGTAAGAGAAACCTTACAAGTGATGCTCTGCTCGTTGCACTCTTGACTAATGTGGATGAAGGGAATTGGACCGAAAGCCACGCTTGAGGCCTTTGATATCGACCCAGTGGTAGTCAACGAAAACGTTGGCCAGCAGTAAGATTAAAACAAGTCATTGAGATCAAAGCCTTGTCATCTAACAATTCGCAGCATGATGGATCACAACGTTTACAGCATCTCAGCCACCGTAGTTCCCGAAGCCTCGACCCACTACCTCATGTTTAACACCACCAATGTTCAAGCCTCGCAAGATGAGTACTACTCGAGTGGTAAAGGTGTCTACACGGCCCCTGGAGGCATCACGAACGGTTTTCAGGAGTTGTCCGGCGAGCAGCTTGAATCAATTGGCGCCGGTGCGGTTGTTGAGGCCGGTCTCACCAACCGCTCAACCGTGGAGTTCCTCTTTGAGTCTTTCTTCTACCCCAACAGCCCAGGCCCGACATACGAACCTTCGGCAGATGGGTCGTACATGTCCATTACAGTGTCGAGCATGGTGGCTTTATCCAAGGGTAACATCACCATTCAGTCAAGCGGCATGTCAGATGCTCCGATTATCAACCCCAACGTGAGTCTACCACCATCACTCGGCCTCTCAACTGTGGGACTGGCTACAAACCCCACACCTTTATTTTGTCCTGGGACGATGGCTAATGATTCCTTATAAATAATGACAGTACTACTCACATCCCGCTGATCGCGCCATAGTGGTGAACGCCTTCCGCGACGCGAGGGAGATTCTTGCCCACCCGGCCTTCGCCAACACGACCATCGGGCCGGACCACGGCGAAGTGGCGCCGGGGGTTTCAAATGTCGCCTCTGATGACGACGAGGCCATCTTTCAGTACATTCAAGCCACTACGGTCCCCAATTGGCACGCTAGTGGCACGAACCGCATGCTGCCCTTGGAGGACGGCGGCGTTGTCGACTCGCGTCTGCGCGTCTATGGCGTTGAAGGTTTGCGGGTTGTTGACAGCAGCATCATGCCCACTGTTCCGGACGTCAACATCGCGGGGCCGGTTTACATGCTAGGCGAGAATGGGGCAAGACTGATTCGGGAGGATTGGGGCTTCTGATCCACATTCCCAATCACTTCACTTCACTCCGTGTATGCGGATACATGTTATGTAGATTCCATGGTATCACGGTAACCTAGTAGGCCTCATCCAGCGATGCAAATGATTTGGTCACCTACCTCAGTATAATACAAATCAATAATTTTACTCATCGACTAAATGCGTTCTAGTCAGGTATTCTCTCACTGTGATCCTACTCTTAAGTTCCTAAGGTCTTAACGGATAGTGGGCAAGTTGGAGTTCCTACCCTTGTCCGTTTCATGGGCTAGCCCTGCGTCCAGATCCGGGGGCACCCTTACGAAAACTGAAACTCATGGCTATGTAAAGCTGTCTTGGCGGAGCTACAGGCCCTCACGGTCATCTCCGACTCATTCTACCCCAACGATTCCTTTGGCCGGTTGAGGCCAGCCGCCAGCGCCGCGGTAAGGTGAGAGCTTCAACTTTCGTCCCCAAACACATTTGATATCAGCTAGATAGCAGGTTTCCAGAAGATAGTACGGATGCGACAGTAAGGTTCTGTTTGCTCGAGGTTGACCAATGTTTTATAACGAAAGTCTTGGTCGCCAAGAGGAAAGAGGCCCTCTCAGTGTCCCAAGATTTTGGGCGTATCTTGGTGGAGCACGAGGTTGTGTTGGGCTTGGCCCTCTTGAGTTCCGCCCGCCGGCAAGATAAATCAAAAAGTGACGAGGATCACTCTTATGCATGGTCATTTCCATTACCAGTTTGAAAAGTAACAAACGGCGTCGCTGGGAGACCCAGGAAACAATGAAATATTCTTAATTACATTTACCTCCAAATTTGTTCAGAGCAACAAGAGCACTTCCAAGCTAAGTAGGAAAGGCCGACTCGGATCTTTTGGTTGTCCCGTTGTGTCGATGCTTCTCGGGCAGCGGCGTATACCCTGTTCAAGTCTTTAAGGCTGAGCTACCAATTACGTGCTTGAGCATCTACACTACAGTCAAGGACCTTGCGTATCTAGACTGGTTTAAGACAAAGCTTCACGCCTCGTCCCACGATGCTAGTTCTCACCTGAACCACGTGGACCACTGTCGCGGGTTTGCTACAACGTCACAGTTCATCCGGTAACTCGAGATCCTAAAGCCAGGATAGGAACTTCATAGCCGTGGTGTTTGACCCTTCTCTCCTCTCAAGTTCCAGTCATCACTCGGATCCTGAAGAGCTTTTTGTTCCTGGTTTGATCGTCTTAACTTTTCGTGCGTGGAAGAAGTATGATAGATTGAAGGCCCTCTCGGGACTAGGGTGCACCTGCACTCTCGCTATATTTAAAGAGGCTACTCAGGGTTCACGACTCGCGGCTAGTCCGGCTCCTTGACACCTGACTCGTCGGCTGGGGTAATCATGATCAGCCCTGCAAGAGCTCTCCAGCGGGATGGAGTTTCTTTCTCGGACGAAAAATGATCGTAGGTAATACCGCGTTTCTCGAAATCGCAAGAACCCATCTTTCGTTTTTTTCTGACCACCTACCTACGCTCTCTACATACTACGCTCATTCATTGCTTGATTTCTTTCGGTACCTAGCGCAAACGCAAGTCGTTGTGTATTCAAGTACTTACTTACCCCATCTGCTGCTCCGGTCGTCTTGGCCAAAAAGGGCCATATTTTGGGTTGTCGAGAACCCACGATGACGATGGCTTCTCCACAGCCGCGACACGAGACGATCAACCTCGAGGATTTCAACGAACACGCCAGAGCTCCCCGAAATGTCCCACAACAAGGCATTTGGTCGAACCGCAAAAACACAGAAGATCATCGAAGGTGGAGCATTATCGAATTAGCAGGCGACAACCATAGCGACTGGCCAAGATATGCCAAAGTAGACGAAGCTTCCTCGGCACACCCATCACCTCTAAAGACCACTGTTTCCTTCAACCAAACAAACTTTCTCCATCCTCCGACGCCCGATAGAGAAGATTGTTCCTACAGCCACAAAGGCAACGAGTTCAACGACACGATATCTCTTACGTCTAGATCTCACAAGGATGAAAACAAGAAAACGAGTCCATTCGTGTGGTGGACGTTGTGTCTTTGGCTCGTCGGGGTGTTGATGTTGACGCTGACGGCCCTTTACTCGACCGGTTCGGCCAAGGCTCTAATGAGACAGAACTTCTTCGTCGCATCGCCTAGTAACTCTATCCTAATCCTTCGTGTGATGACAGAGCTTTGCGCTCTTGTCTTAGCTGCTCTCGTGGTCGTCGTTATGGAAGACTTGCAATGGGCCTTGGCATCCCGCCCCGGCGGCGTTAGTCTATTGCACTTTGTAGGACTTGACGCTGGTACTGGAGTATGGGGGTTGTTGCGTCTTTTGGCAACGGCTGAATGGAGGCAGAAGTACTCCAGTCTGTTCCGGTGAGTCCGATTCTGCTGGTCTGCCAGATATAGTGAAAACTTGTGAACGCGTTCTGACACTTTAAAGCCTGCTGGTCATCTGCTCCATTCCTCTGCCCGGTATCATCCTCATGGGTAAGCTTACATCGTGTGTGTAACTGTGGATGTTCGTCGTGTTGACGGTCTATCTAGGCGCTATTTCCATCGAACTAGTCACATTCCCCGAGAAGACATACAATGTTTCGGCCGGGATCGCTCCCTTCAATGCCTCTTATATCTACGAAATCCGCCAATCCACAGCCACCGCGTTGCTAGTACAGATGGGTAGCCCCGCCTGGTCTGACCGAGACACTTTTTCTCTAGATCCCTTGCATCAAGGTGTAGGGAAATGCACCGGGGCAGACGGAGGATGGGCCCCGTGTGACGAATCGCATCTGCTCACCGGCGGGGTGGTCTCAATCGCGCCACAGGCAGACAACTTGACGAGCTATCCGGACTCTGCGGCATACGTAGTCCCCAACACCCGAGTCGCTCAGTTGGAATATGGCAAAGTACACGATCTCGATGGCCTACGGACCAATGGAACTTGTTTTCTCATCGGCGCCGACAGCGCTGCATCGTACTGGTGTGCTGCTGTTGGCAAACAGAAAGGACTGCTTTTTGGTAAGAATGCACACAGTCGGCTCTTCAAACTGCCGCGTATATGAAAGCTAACATTTCTTCACAGGGTCGGCATACTGCCCGATTGCGCTACAACTGACCAGTTCATGCATCAACAACACAGCTTGGACCAACCCTTTGGAACTATCGTCGTCGCTATACGTTTACTCGCGTTATGCGACTATCACCTATGATCGCGGTAACTTTTCGATCCTCGACGTTTCAGACATGACACCACCAGAGCAGGATATCATTGGTCTCGATGAGTACATGCTCTCGTTATCAGCAGTAGTCCCTGGCTTCAACAAGAGCGGCGGAGCTACAAAGGGCGACAACTCGGCATTGGCCATTTATGCCGTCACAGCGCTACCGATCAACGACAGTGAAGTGGCAAAGAAGCAGTCATTGAGAGCCGTCAGAAAGGCTCTTTCTGTCCCATTCAGTTACTTCCACGCAAACTACTTCTCTGACGGCCTCTCAATTTGGGAACTCAAAGGCCCCCGCGAAGGTCTACCCGACGATATGTACTCCACCCTAGCCATTTCTATCCTCAGTCATCAGGTTGTTGCTGGAACTATCAGCAGGTGGTTCTTTGTCACAGTGGCAGGTATCATTCTGTGTATATCGTTGGCCATCATCATAGCCACGTCCAGGGTGTGTGTAAAGAGGCCAGAGAGGTGCGGCTACCCGACGTTGGATTTTGCTGCCGTGTGCGCTGTAAGAGGAGGGATACCTTCTAGCTCTCCTGAGTGGGGTAATACACAAGAGCCGACTAATCATGAGAGAGGTCATGCAAGCGGTCTACACAGGAGCCTGACGCAGCTTGGGCAAAAGCCACAACCCTTCGGGGTTGCGAAGAACATAAAGAACGAAAGAGTAATACTAAGCTAATGAGATTTTGAGAACATGACGATCAACGAACTTCACGATACCTAGAAAGCGCACTTTAGATCATTTGAAATAGAAATATCAAGCCCTTTGAATCATCTCCATTTCATTAAGTTCTTCGCCCCAAGTTAGCTCAACATGTCAATTACGAATCTTACACCCATAAATCGGGTACAATAGTAGGCTCAAACATCTCTCAAAGACTTGCTATCATGGCCTGAGTGAACTGGCAAAGCTTGCTTTTGGAACCTTCTGGGTGCCAACTCTAATTCATAAGCCCTGTCGATTTCCTCCGTCGTCATACCCGTGGTGTCTGGCACAAGGAACCATGCTCCTGCCAACAAGAATACGGATGTACCAGCATAGATGAACCCGGTGCGAGCTCCGAGATTGCGGGAGTCAACGTTATACATGTAAAGAGTGATAAAGTTGAACAACCAAGTTGTGAAGGTCTGCGCACAAATGCCGATCGATAGTGTCTTTGCACGAAGCGCGTACGATGGGATCTCGGCAGCGATAGGCCCACCAGCACCTTTAAGAAAGGCCGCCTGTATAGAGATGAGAAGGTTCATCAGGACAGCAATTGCCCAGAGGGCGCCCTTGTTTAGAACCCAGTAAAGCGCGCCGATAATCACCATGAAAAGCAGGTTGACAACGAGGCCTAGCAGCACCACATTTCGTCGACTTATACGCTGTAGGTACGCCCGCTAGCTAAGATGATCAGCACGGCAAGACCAAAGCCGCCGATGCCGATGTCGAACGAGTAATCTGCCTCGAGACCGGCAGTAATGAGGAAATAGACGTTCTGAGCTAGAAAAGGGCGCCGCCGATATTGGCCGTGGAGTAGAGGAATGCGACGGTCAAAGCTCTCTTTCGGTTATGGCCCTGGAGACACGATGCGTATGTAGCGTTGTTATTCATTTCGAGTTCTTGTTCCGCGCGAATCGCTTGAATCTCGTATCCGAGGCGCTCATCTGGATTATTGGGGCCGCAGATCTTATGCATGACCTTTCGTGCAGCTTCGATTTTGCCTTTCTTGATCAAATAGATAGGGGACCTTGACATATTAGCACGTGGCTCATTCTTGCTTAGGGAATCGGTGCTCACTCTGGGGCCACAGCCCAGGTAATAACCGCTAAACCACCAACGGCCCACTGTATAGCAATGACCGTCCTGAATGCTTGCTCTCGGATATCGGGAACGAAGATGCGGATTACACCCAATGCCAGGCCTTGAGTAAGAAGGACAAAGACAACGAAACATGTTTGTAAGGGCGGACGAAGTTTCAGAGGCGACACCTGGTAGAGAGTGTTAGCCGAGTTGTTTAAAGGGGGGCACCATATATTTGTTCGTACTTCACCAATGTACGTGGTAGCGGTAGCCATTACAGCCCCAATACCCAGGCCAGAAATCATCTTGCCTCCCATCAGAGTTGCACGTGGTACAGCGACATACTGCATCGCGGCCCCGACCAAGGTCAAGACAGCTGCGCCGCAGGATGGCCACTTCCGCCCATATCGATCAGAGACGAATCCGACTAGAATGGCACCGAGGGCCTGCGTGAGTGAAGACATTGCCGTCCACAACGAGGTCCAGATGGAGGGGAGATAGGGTCCTGTCGGTCCAATTTCGCCAAAATAAAGCAGAAATGAAGGCATCGAGATCGAGGCTCCGTTGGTCACTGTGTCGTAGGCGAAGACGATGCCGGCGGAGAAGGCTACCGAAGCTTCATGACTGTTAGACAAGTCTTTCGATCAGAGGGGTGGAAGGGTTTACCTATGAGCAGAGCTCGCCAATGTCTTTTCGCATTCTGAAGCACTGAGAGTTGTCTTTCTGCATTGATAATATCTTCACCACTTCCAGCACGAGCCGTTGCAACACCGGTGCCCATCTTTGCTTTCTCAAAGTGATTGTATTCCGGGTTTTGCATCTTTCCGTCGTTAACTTTGAGTGAAGCCATGTTTCTGTTGGTTTCGATGACTGGAGAGGCTGCAAGAGGAGTTATTCACGGCTTTCCAACAAGGATGGGCTTGACTGCCATTTGATATAAAATGCAAACAGAACCACATTCCTCAGCTAATTGCACATGCAAGGTATCCAATGAATTATGGATTGTCCGGGGAAGCTAATGGCGGGGGAATCTGGGGTATCATTGATGTGTCTAGCTTGGGTGGACGTGAAGGGTGGACGCCGAAGAGGATTGGGGTAGGCCTGGGTGGACGTAGGGTGGACGTGCAGTGGACGTGCGGTGGACATTCGAGTGGAACATCCGGGGAAATGGGGGAGAGGAAGATTCTGGAGAAGTGAGTCCGAATCCAAAATTGACTACATACACCTCGGACTTCCCGATATGATAAGGTTGTTCAATGTCGAGTCTGTTTTATGTTGTCTTTAGAATTCGTAGCCCATCGATCTAAGTCAGAAGACCCCAGCCTCAACTTAGCACACTCACTTCGGTACATACCAGCGAACTTGAGTAACATTAGACAGCGTCCTAATGAAGGTTACAAACCCAATCATCCCTGGGTTCGCTCCCGATCCAACTGTTGTCGTCCACAATGGCACTTACATCCTCGTCAACTCTTCCTTCCACGTGTTCCCTGGGTTGCCCATCTACACTTCCACAAACCTCGTGGATTGGGAGCTGAAGGGTCATGCCCTATGCCGACCACGCAGCTATCTCTTTCAAACGCCTTTACCAAATTCATCCCCCTGCCTCATGGCATCCCACTCATCATTACCGGCGGTCTCTTTGCACCAACGCTTCGTCATTTCCGAAACAAGTTCTATCTTGTGTGCACTTATGTTTGGGAGAAACCCGATGGGGAACACGAGTTTCAGAATTTCCTGCTTAGCTGTCACGAAGACTCGATATTCTCAGATAACGGCTGGTCAGATGCGGTGCCATTCGAGTTCCCCGGTATCGATCCAAGGTTATTCTTCGATGAGATGTCCGGAAAAGCATACCTTCACGGCTCTTACCGTACTGGGCCTCCATGGGCGCCAGATTGCTCGATTCGCCAATTTGAAATCGATGTTGAGACCGGCACAGCTCTGTCTGATACCAAATTTCTCTGGAAGGGTGCCGCCGGAAAGGACGATGCCGAGGGGCCGCATATATACTTCAAAGATGGCTGGTACTACCTGTTGACCGCAGAACCTTCGACCTTTGAGGGTCACCAGATTAACATGGCGAGGTCCAAAGATATCTGGGGACCGTACGATGGCTGTCCGAGAAACCCTTTATTGACTGCGTTTGAGAAAGACGAAGCTGTCCGTTGGACTGGTCATGGCGATTTGTTCCAAGACACAAGGAAAAATTGGTTTTGCGTCCATTTCGGAATACGACACGATGACGACGATGTTCAACGTCATCCACTTGGCCGCGAGACATTTCTCACCTCGGTAGACTGGCCTGAGGATGGATGGCCTACAATTTCCCAGACTAAGCTGAGCTTAGATATTGGTCTGGAAGCACTACCGAGCCCGATTGCAGGGAAGCATGAAGGATACAAGGGACTCATTGAACGTGTTGAGGATCTTTACATCCGCACACCCAACCCTTCAAATTACTCATACTGTCCAGAGGAAAACATCTACTCCTTGCGTGCTCAGAACTCAAATCTAGCCAGTACTTCTGGTACATCCACCTTCGTCGGCCGCAGGCAAAGATCCCTCTCAGGATCAGCTTCAACAACAATGCACATAGCTTCCGATAGCGCCGCGGGACTCCCACTGGTAGGATTGGCAGTGTACAAGGATAGCCTGCGACATGCAGTTATCCAAATCGATCCGCTAAAACGCAAAGTGTTTTCCATCTTGGTCGCAATCAAAGACCAGAAGCCCGAGTCGGCCGTTTTGGGCTCAGCCGCCATACCCGAGTCTACTGATATGGTTGAGCTCCGCATCCAATCCAAACCCGACAACTACGAACTCCTCTGGCGAGTCTCAAGTCTTGGAGAAAAGAATGACTGGCAAAGTCTTGGGGGCGTAGACCCTGTGCTGCTTTCGGGCTACGACATGACGGGGACTTTGTACGTGTTGGTATCCCTATCACAGGGATGTTGGTTCGAACCGTAGGGTCCTGTGGGTGACGACGTATCAATATCTCTGTATTGATTGATTCTGCGTAAGGAGTAGAAGGGAGATTCCAACCGGAGGTTGGGTGGGTAGTCGAGGTCTAAGTGTACCCCCTCGAGGTGGCCCATGCTCTGCCCCTACTCGCGGTCGAATTGGACTTCCAATCCGACAGTACGGCATTTTCGCGATTTCAAACAACACACCGAGTTCGGCAGGGGATCAATGGGCGAAGTTCAAAGACTTTGTGATTGAATAGTGTCGAGTTTCGGTGCCCAGCCGCACATCGATCGAACGCCTGTGTCTACGTCAAGCCGTCATGTTCCTTCAAAGAGATCAACCTACCATGTAGTTACATTGCCCATAGAATCATGACTCAAAGCATCGCGAAAATTGCATTACATGCATCTTGCCTATTCGGAAAACTTGGTTTGCAAATTGGGTCAACTTGGGTCTGAGAAGGTACCGCAACCATAGCCACAGTGTATTGGCCAAAAGCCGCTAGGCAACAGTCGCTATTGTTGCCTGCGCTCCGGCTGTCAGATGCATTAAACCGTCAACTCTCCCGGGCCTACCAGGTATTATGTCACGAAACAGGAATGGTATCAGCACTTGTCAAGCATCTTGCCACGTGCTTTCTCACGTGGATATCACACTCTCTTAGTATATCCCATCGAGTGCTGCAAGGCGACAGTACATTGGCTCCACATAAGGGGCCCTCTTTTACCCCGCACCGCATCTGGTACATCCACTGCTTGAGTTGCCCCTATGATTTCTACTACGGTACATCCACCAAACTGCCTCGAGTGCGATGTAGCTCTCTGTAACTCAGAAGATTGCTGGTACCGATTTCATACGCAGAATCTCTAATAATTGGAAGTATCTATTATCAATTACGTTGGTTGGTTGGAAAAAGGGGCCCGAAGTGGCCCGATTGGCTGCTCCCCCGCATCTCAATGTATTGTCGCCTTGCAGCACTCGATGGGATAGACTGCTCTCATGTGCTCATTCTAGATGGGTTACTTCAAGCCACTTTAACCCACTTCATATGCCCATTGCTGCGTGCCATAACTCGTGACATATTATTAGTCAACCTCGGTCCTCTCACTCTACGGCCACGACTCAACATCCGTAATTTCTGTCAGTGTTAGTAGCTACATTAAACTCGCGATGTCTTCTCCACCCATCTTCCATCAACCATCAACAACTCACACTCACACCGTAGTCTTCTTGCATGGGCGCGGTGACAATGCGAAAAACTTCATGCAGTCATTGAACTACTCTAGAGATTCACAAAACCGCACTCTCGCAGACGCGTTTCCTTCATTCCGCTGGGTCTTTCCTCAGGCAAAGCTAGGAAAGTCAGTGGCACTCGGCGACAAGGTCTCGCAATGGTTCGACATCTGGAACGTGTCCAATTTTGCCGACCGTGAGGAGCACCAGGCCGAGGGCCTCAGAGATAGCGTTGTCGAGATCCGAGAGATCCTCGCCGCAGAGGCACAGTTGCTGGGAGGCAAGTGGAGCCGCATCATCCTGGCTGGGATAAGTCAAGGGGCAGCAACGGGCGTCCATACTATGCTCAACTTACGACTCCCGCCAGGGCAATCTGGGCTTGGGGCCTTTGTCGGCTTTTCTTGCCGCATGCCGTTCCCTGGGAGAAGTCTCGCCGATACTCGAGCAATTCTCGGGCTTGGAGATGTTCCAGAAAGATGTGCTCTGCTTGAACATACTCCGATTTTGCTGGAGCATTGTGTCGACGATCCACTTGTTTTGGTCGCCAATGGCCGTGTCTTGAGGGACACTCTAAGGAGATTCGGAGCGCAAGTTGAATGGAAAGAGTACCAAGAAGGAGGGCATTGGTTTAATTCTCCTACAGGGATGGATGATGTTGTTCGCTTCTTGAACTCCCATTTATATGAGTAATCCAGGGTTTGCTCAACACGTACACTTGACCCTATTCGACGTCCAGAAATCGATAACAATGTTAGAATCAGGAAGTAGTATTTGACTGAAAAGAATCAGTTTCTTTATTAGATAGGACGCACCGATTACGAAACTCATAAAACCATGGGATAACTGGGCCATCCTTTATCACTAATCAAGTTCAAGGCCATAATGGTTGTCTTCCTTTTCCACGCCGCGATCAACACCCATTGTTGTATCGCTTGTGGCCCCTCTTACTCTTAAAAGCTAATCTGCCATCAAATCCTGGCCCGTCTGCCTTTTTGGACCCTACTGGAGTGGCGACAATCGTGCCGCGCATTTTTTTCCTGCAGCTGGACACAGCAAAGTTTTCACATTCGTACCGTATATGGACTCATTGACGGGCAGTGGGAGATTTGGTCGCAGTGTCGCCAGAGGGCCGTACATGCCCTCGTCTGCTAGTCTCAGCAACCCGTCTGCCTTGCCTTAGGGCTTCGCTTCCAGCAAAGCTTGATTCTGGGGTGCTGGAGATACCCATCGTCTTCATTTCATCTATTTCCCACTTGTCGAGATGCGTATGAATCTTCTTTTGGTAAGGAGAAGCACCGCCATCCGAACGTAGAGCGCTGCCGGTCGAATAGAGCACCTACCTTACGACATTGATCAGCCATATCCTCAATAAGAAAACGCCCCAAGATGCGTTTCCTCGTCAATTTTCTAGCCCTTGCTGGGCTGGCAATCGGAAATCCCGTTAACCTCCTCGAGAGATCCGCTCCGCCTCAGGTCAAATATATCGACGCCAAAGAAATGACCAACCGAATGCATCTGAAGCATCCGACTCACCTAATCGGCCAGTCTCTTAACCCTGTCGAAGTGAAGAGAATGGTGTTGTCTCACGCTGGCACGGCAGATACACTCTACCTCCGTAACCACAATACCTTTATCCCAATGACCAGCTTCCGGAACGGACCGACCTCAGACGGAGAGACTACTGCAGACAAGCACTGCTTTATGTGGGACGAGTGGGAGATTCGCGACATCAAGTCGTACTGGAGTCCGTATACGGCAGCCTCAAAGATGCAGCATGTTGGTATCCTCGGCGAACGCGAGTCTGTGACGATCCCCTGGGAGGAGAAATTTATCGCCAAGAGGAGAATCAGTCTTACTCCCGACTGGAGACCCATCAAACATGTGTTGACCATTGCACTGGGTTTCGACACAACAGACGAATATACCAATAAGGGGACTTTTCACTGCACGACCGCTCCAAATCGTAGGATTCGTCTTTGGTTCCGGAAATATGTTGGATCAGGTAAGTGTTAGAGGACCCTGAGTACCCTGCTTCGTGGTCTTAAACTGACCAGGGTACAGCATATGCGTTCAAGAAGATATGCAGAGGCTGTGGTAATGAAAAGCCAGTATGCGAAGAAACGTGGACGCCGCAGGGCCAAATTATCATTCCATCTGATGGGTAAGTTTCTGTTTGCTGGCCGATTATTGAAGCAATGACTAACTTTGAGCCCACCTAGCTCCAATAAGGACATTAATTACAACATGCACTGTAGCTCCGATTAGCTCAAGCAAGATGAAGTGAAGTAATTGAGGGGATGCGCCCGGATGGAGAACTCTTGTCAACTCATCAGTCGAGTCCGGGCTTCATGGGTCGTATTTCTCCATTGCATTGTTTACGATAGGTCTGTGACAGATATTGTCGTCATCACCGAGACTTCGCCATCATTTACAGCAGTAGGGTCGCACCTCAGTGTCTAACATAGTCTACAATCCATCTGTTTCTTAAGCGATTACCTTCAAATTTCTCATTACTTATTCTCGTAGCCTGCTGCTGAAGGTAAGTAGCGGTGGCACTGGTTTCAACACATCTTCAACTGCGAATGTTATTATCTGTAGTTCAGTACGACTACTCTCTGCCATGATGCTTTTCCCTCTGCGTGTGTCAATAAGATGATAATTATCTTTAAGGGCCGATTAGCACATTGATGATGATGATGATGATGTATTTAACATCTAGTAATAAAAGGACGTGCCGGGCGCTATACCGACATAGTCTATATTAATCTAAACTATATTATAGGCTACCGTCTTTACTTAACGTTCCTATTTAATGACTCGGGCAAATTTTGGAAAAGAAATTAGTCTCCTCTAACGTACTTGATAAGCGAGCTGCCCAGACAAGCGAGCTGCCCACCTAACCATAATCACATTATAAATCTAACTAAGGAGCAACACTAAAAACATAAAATCAATTGAAACTACTCTGAATCCTATTCCTCAGATATTTCTTTATTAAACTGACATGTTCGCGCATTGTGGCCAGTGTTTCCGCAGACGCCACATCGCCGTTAACCTATTTCTGTCCTCGGCCGACGACTACTACTCTGGCGCGTTTCCTCCTCAATCTGGGCCGTAGCCTCTCTCTGCGACTGAATGTCCTCTGCCTCAGCTACAGTAAGACTTCCTCCTTGTCTGAGACGTGTTTTCTTAGCCCTCCTGCGTCGGCTAAGTAGGTTATTTTCCTCCCGGAGGATCTGGACCTCCGACCTTAATAAGGCAATCTGGTATATAAATCCCCGCGCTCCCTTTGATAAATGCTCTATAGCTTTAATAATTGAAGTTGGGGAACTATTTTGATAGCGGGAGATCCTCCTTTTGATGAGTTCGGACTAAGAAGAGGCCTCTGTTGGTGTTGGTATTCCTTTCACAGGGAATTTGGTTCGAACCGTAGGGTCCTGGGGGTGACGAAGTATCAATATCTCTGTATTGATTGATTCTGCGTAAGGAGTAGAAGGGAGATTCCAACCGAAGGTTGGGTGGGTAGTCGAGGTCTAATTGTACTCCCTCGAGGTGGCCCATGCTCTGCCCTTACTCGCGGTCGAATTGGACTTCCAATCCGACACTGACTATCTCTCTCTTGTAACGTCTAACTGGTACGGTTGGAAGGATAATTCGAACGCTGCGAAGTCGTGTACATGTATAGAAAAGCAATGCTGTCTAATACGCCCCTTTCCCTTCCTTCCGAGGTCCCTTCCGTGTGACCCATCCCTCCATTCGTACCGTAGCCTTCCCCTTGTCGATGAAGCTTTCCAACCCTTGGTTGGGGTTCGCTTTAGTGAAGGCGTCGGCGAGGTTGTCGTCGCCATGGATCCAACGGATCTCCATTATCTCGCGTCGTTCGTACGATTGCCGTAAGGCCATAATGTCGATCATAAGCCTCTTCTCTTTCGTGATGCCTAACCGGTCCATATCTCTGAGGCATAGTAGAAAGGGTGTATTGACCGGAAGGATATGGAAGGTCATGGTTCCGAAGGTGGTGATGATGCTCACCGTACCAATGCCCACTAGTTGGTCCCCCGGGCCGAAGCTGATAACGGCGATGCCTGCCTTCGACCTGTCGAGCGCTGCTGGGTAGATCTTCTGTAGCGCTTCCAACTGGCCCTGTCCTCCGGTAGACCAATGTGATGCTCCAGTATCAGGGATAATCCCTTGGAAGACGTCTGGCCCGTACCTTTCCTGGGTATTGTATACCTGGGCCGTCCCCTCGTCTGGCTCATCTGGTGGATATAAAAAGGGGAGTAGCGAGGCCCCTGAGCTTGTCTTCCTTTTTCCCTCGGTACGGGTGTGATCACCTAATGCTTCTTCAGCTAGGTTGTGGTGACTCAAGGCTTCGCTTGATCCTTGGCTTCCTTCGTGTAGGGCCGACGATCCCTTACTTCGTACGAATCTGCCTTGACAACCATGGAAGAATGCCTCCTCGTTGAGGGTATTGACCGCTTGCCTGTCATTCAGAGTGGAATATCCTCCTGACGATGAGGGAGCGAAGAAGACGTGTTGGACCTCGTCGACGTCGTCGAAATCGTTGTCGACGGTATCGTCGATCCTGGTGAGGAAAGGAGTGATGTCCTCATCGATGTCAGATTCGTAGTCATGGTCCTCTTGTGTGGAAGGGTCCTTTCCTTCGTAGTCGACGATGAATTGTTGGAATTGGCCTGGGCTATTCTTGCCCTCGGTGCCCTTCATCTGCTTGTATTTCTCGTACGACTTATCTCTTTCCTCTTGGGTATGGCTTGTCGACCAACAGCCGTCTTTCTTGCAGACCCAGCACTTTCCGCGAGGCTGATTTCCGCGTGGCCTGAATCTTGTGGCTGCTGTTGATCCTCCTCGTGTCTCTTGATCATTGGATCGGTTGCCGTATCTGGCTTCCTTTCCTTTGCCGTTGTATGTACGGTCGACCCAGTGTTGTTGATATGGTGCGTCAACTGCTCGGAATTGCTGTTGTCTGGGCATCCTGGCCTCGATGTTGAAATTCGACCTCAGCCGTGAGCAGAGGGTCTCGTAGTCGGTTGGCGGTGCGTGTAAAGTTACCCTTGCCTCGGGGACTCGCTGGACCGCTGTACAGAGATATCCGACTTTTCTCTCGTTAGTTCCCTCCGTTGGCTGGGTTTTGGCTAACTTGTCGATCTTGTCGATGAGCTCCTCGAGAATCTCAACGCGTGGCTTGCCCTCCATTCCGCGAGCGATAGATCCATATGAAAGTGCTCTTAGCTCGGCAAGGAGCTCGAGGCTCCTATCGTGTGTCTCGAAGCGGCTTCGGATTGCGTCAACAATGCTGAGGAAGTCTGATTTGTCGAGTGTACGCACCGCAAGGTAGTAGTATTCCTCCGCCTTGCCCGTGAGTACAATCGTGATGGCTGAGTGATATTGGTGTTCCTTGATTCCTGCCTTCTCGCAGTAGTCGTAGAACATGGTCAGGGTCTCTTGTAGGACCTCGTACTTCCCCCCTGCATACTTCTTCTCTTTTGGGAAGATTTTCGTGAGGTCTGTTAATTGCCTCGGGCTTGCAAGGGTCTGGTCTTGTTCATCCCGTGATTCGCGGAACGTTGGAGTATAGCGTTGACTGTGTGTAGTCGAGCGAGGGCCTAGCCGGAGCTCTCGGCTGTGGTCTAACGGTTGCGGTAACGGGTTTAATGGTGGTGTGATCGACGGCAAGCTCGGGCTTGTAATAGAGATTGGAGGAGCCGTTGCTTGACGTACTGGATTCGGGCCGCTGCTACTGTGATTCTTCTGAGGTCCGACTGCGCCGTTGGTGATCTTCAAGAGGAATTCCGGCCTGGTGGTACGCTGGTTGAACTCGCTAAACCGATATATCGCGCGGTCTACCTGTTGTTGGTTCCAATACGTAAACTCTGTTGCCGCTAGGGTTGCTGCGAGTACCTCGTGAGGCTCTCCTGTCTTCGACGAGTCTGGCAGTACGCCTCGGCTATGGAGGAATCTAACAACTTCTCTTACGATGCCTTTGTTGGCGCTCGCGAACCATTCGCCTAGCCAATGTCCGATGTCATCGGTAATTTGGTAGAACAGGGGTTGCCCTTCGAGTTCCTGTTTTGAATAGATCTCCATTAGGAAGACGAGGGCTGCGTCTATCTGTTCCTTGTTCGGCATGTCCGCTTCGTCGAATGTCCAATTTCCCCAGTATGAAGCATTAATGCTCATCCACTTGAAGGGGATGGGCATCCTTGATAACGCCATTCTCCCTGACTCGCTTATAGTCGTGCTCTGGCTGGTGCTCGTACTTGACGCAGCCGGTGTGTCTGACCTTAGTGGGCTCGAGCTCGAGCCACTCATTGGTTGTGGCATCATGAGACTGTCGTCGCTTGCTTGGGTTGACGGGGTCTGGCTCGATCCCGCCCCTTCTTGCTGACGGGCGCTAGATCTCGTCGTTACTCCTGGCCTCGTTGCCGTGGGCTCCTCGGGCTCAGCCACCATCTTGGTCTTCTTCCTTGGCCGCGTGGTGCCCTTTTGTGCTTTGGTCGAAGGGCTCGTACTTCACGCGTTGGAAGGTATAGTCGGTATATTGTCTCGCGGGCGTAAGTCGCAGGCTGCGGAAAATAGATATAATTGTCGCGCGGGCTGGTCGCGGTTGGTGTACTTGACAGACTCAAATTCGCGGTCTTGCCGCGATGAAGTCGGTATAAGTAAAGGGTCCTTCGTCGGTCGTCGGGCGCTCGAGGCGTCTGGCCGGTCGACCGTCGAAGGCGTTGCTGACGTGATGGACGCCTCCTCTCGTGAGATTCGAGAGGTCAAGGTAGCACGATTCCTCTATCCCGTTCGGTATTAGAGGGTCGTCTCTTCTGCTTTCGTGAGATGCCTTGCTGATCTGCGATAGTGGAATTTAACCACTGATCAGTGTTGGTATTCCTTTCACAGGGAATTTGGTTCGAACCGTAGGGTCCTGGGGGTGACGAAGTATCAATATCTCTGTATTGATTGATTCTGCGTAAGGAGTAGAAGGGAGATTCCAACCGGAGGTTGGGTGGGTAGTCGAGGTCTAATTGTACTCCCTCGAGGTGGCCCATGCTCTGCCCTTACTCGCGGTCGAATTGGACTTCCAATCCGACAGTTGGGTTATTTAGCGTTTAAGAAGTCCATGCGGGGGGTGTTATTAGTAGGGACCCTGGGGGTATTGGAGTATGTAACTTGATATCAAGCTTCGAAAGCACACTTTCGGCACTTAAAGAAACAAGCCCGGCCCCTCTGAAGCCTCCCTGGATGTTTTTTACCGTTAGGGTTTGCGTGAAAGCGTTGTGAAATGCAGGGAAGAAGTCCTCCTTCGTAATATAGGTATTACCCCGGCGCATCTTATCCTTAATTTATCGACCATAAGCCGTCTTTAGTGGCCCAAAACACCCAGCGTCTAAGGGCTGAAGTAGATGAGACGAATGGGCCGGCATATAGAGTGTGACGATATTGTTTTCCTTGTAATATATCTTAAAGTCCGCAGAGTGGTGACTTTCGTGCCCATCGACGACGAGGAGGCGATAATTGCTAGTTATACGCGGTTTTGTGTGCCGATTAAAGTCCTGGAGCCAGTCTAGGCCTCTTTTATTTGTTGTCCATCCGTTTTCAGACGTTACGATGACCCAGTCGCATAGGAGATCTATTTCTATATACCAGGTAGAGAGGTGATATTGGCCTGTAACGATGATGTACGGCGGAACGCTGTAGCCTGACGAACTGATGGCCTGAATGACTATAACCTATTTACGATTGCCAGGCTGTATCATTTTTATATTTGAACGCCTTTCGGCACTCGTGACGACCATCCCGGACGCAATCTGGCCCATCATAAACCTAGTCTCGTCGAAGTTGTAGATATCGGAGTCTATAATACCGTATTTCGCAATTGTGTTCGCTATAAGCCGAACCTACGCATTTATCGCATCTAGATCTTCGTATTAGGCCCTCTTATAGTCGTACTTATAAAAAAAGCGCGTCCGGAGCTATGGTTGTCGTTTAACGAAGTTTGAAGCCCAGCGCTTCCCAACTAGGGGCGCATCGCGGTCGGCGAGCAATCGATTAGCCATTTCTTCCACACCATTAATCCGGGGAGGAAACGATCGGGAATCCAGGTCGAGGATATACTCAACTAGCTTCTCCTCTTCAAGCTCCGTCAATTTGCGTGAGTTAGGTATAGTATCTTATCATATAGGTGTGCCTTTTAATCGGGTACCTAGGGTCCTAAGGGGGACTAAATAGATTCTTACTGCGGCTCGAATGCTGAGTTTAGGGTTTTTTTTGGATAGCCTTGACTGCTAAGTTCAATTGGGCCTCTTTGCTTTGTGACGACATGATTATTTGTGGCGTGATACGCATTAGAAGTGAGGAGGAAGGATGAACGCGGTTGGGTGGGCAGCTCGCTTGTCTGGGCAGCTCGCTTATCAAGTACGTTATCTATTTGTATAGAAGAGAGGCTCCCTTAATAGAACCTAATAAGAAATTAATACTTACTTTAGCTATACGTTAGCGGAGGTAGCGCGGTATAGCTGTTACGGCCAGCTAGTCGTAGAGGTAGTTTGCAGAAGTTGAGGCTGCGGAACTGGTAACAGTAATCGTAGTCGGGGATAGCTTCAGGGAAGCTATGTCTGTCAATCGTAGGATAAGGTAAGGCTTCGGTGATCAATCGTAGTCTTGTCAAGGTAGTAGCTGAAAGCGGATGTTAATCCTGATACGAAGTTAATTGCTGAAGAAGCTATGGGAAGTCTGTCCTAGAGCCCGGCTCGAGTCCATCCTATATACAAGTCCTGATCCTGAACATATCCTTTGTTGCCTGGTCACCATGTTCGTTGGTGATCACTAAGTGGATACTGGTGAGCGCTCACTTTGGGTGATCACTGTGATCACCTTATCGTGTGCTCACTTTGGGTGATCACTGTAATCACCTTATCGTGTGCTCACTTTGGGTGATCACTGTAATCACCTTATCGTGTGCTCACTTTCCTTATCGTCACGTGACTTGTTCCATAGTTCTTCCGTTCCATGAGGAGTCACCTGAGTTCCCGGATTCTCTGCGTATATCAGGTAGATAGCCGCCGCAGGCCTGTGGGGCGGGCCCCCTGGCCTTGTTATGCATGTTGGGTTGTAACAAAGAGGTCCTGGACAAAATTCGAAAGCTTATTAATCTCGTTTTTAAGCTCAGAATTATCCTAATAGTTAACCTGCTTAACTACTCTGACCTTTACAGTCGGCTTCCGGACTCGTCCCGACCACCGAGTTATACCGGCGTCCCCGTAAACTATAATTAATAGCCCTATATCTAGAGAGACCGCTATAGTCGTAAAATTTAGCTCATATAGGCTAATATTAAGAGATGATAATGCAGTGGGCCGTAGCCCTCTATAACCTTAACAATTACTAACAGTGGGTACCTTTCGAGGTATGTGTTCATGCAGGACCCGATTAGCATGTTGATTGTCACGAAATAGGAATAGCATCAGCACTCTGTAATCAGCCCATCACGTGCGTTATCACGTGACTCTCTCATTTGTTCCTATCCCATCGGGTGCTGATGGACAGCACTTTCGCCAAGACCATGAAATACCCACTACTTATCCACTATTAACCCGCATTTAAAGGGGTATTTGACGATACGTCACTCATCCCTATGCTCTTTTGCCTATTATCATCACTATTATTACCATTTTGATTGATATTGTGATGTCTTCTGGTGATTCTGATACCTCTATTGCATCTAATGCTTCTATTACTTCTATACGCAGCTGTATAGTAGTTGAGGTCCACCCAGAAGACCTTACTGCTGCCTGTAATACAGACTGTACGCCCGAGCGCTGTGACGCAGCTACAGTCCGGCCCCACGAACCTCCGGCTAATCGGCATGGTCCTCCGGGCTCCTTCCGGACCTTCAACGTGCCGGCCCGTGCCCAAGAGATACGGGGGCTGCCGGCAAGCCCGCTTGAACTGTTCCTCCAATACGTCCCGCAGAGCCTCGTGGGGCAGTGGGCCAAGTGGACGAATACAGCGCCGTTGTCTAAGGAGGGCCCTAGGGCTAGAACGTCTAGAGCGAATTCATGGCGGCAGACTTCAGCAGACGAGATCTACCTCTTCCTAGGGATCCTATTATATATAGGGATTCATAGGGAGTCTAGATTATCAACCTATTGGTCAACCCAGCAGCAAACGGAGGATCCTTTCCACCTGTTTACACGGTTTATGTCCCGGGACCGTTTCCAACTGCTACTCCAGCGACTACGGATATTCAACACTGCGGAATTCCAGCCCAGCCTGCAGACAACTCGAAAGGGCTGCTTAGATTGTAGTGTACCATTATGTATTAACAAAGATTGCTGGTACCTCTGGCACAACCAAAATTTATAGGAAATAGAGGTACTGCAGCCCTATTGGTCAACTTAATAGACTTGCAAGCCCTCATTGGCTCTACCCCGCCCTTGGCGAAAGTGCTGTCCATCAGCACCCGATGGGATAGCACCTTTCCTTGTTCGATTCTATTTGGGTTAATACAAGCCACTTTTACCACACTTCATATGCCCATTGCTGCGTGCCATAACTCGTGACATTAATGCTAACCCCGCAGTCTAGTCGCAAGTGTAGCCTCACTATCTATCTCGAGCCAATCAGCCTTCGCACGTCGGCAGATCATGGCTAAGAAGTCTCTGACTTCCAGCGTCAAATATATCTTCCTTTGTGACTCACACAAAATACTGACGTATATCGCAAAACTGATCAGTACAAGCAAATCCTGTGCACACTAACCGTCATCATCACTCAGTATCACTCAGTAGCAGCATCACCATCACTCGGTCAGCATGAACCACCAACACCAAGACCTCGAGCTCGAGACAACGAGCTTGCCCGATAACGGATCGACAATCGGCCGCGCAATACACCAGCAAGAACCTGTCGAGGAAATCGAGCAGGCACCATTACCACCCGCAGACAGAGGAAGAGAGGCCTGGCTCGTCTTGCTTGGATGCAGTCTGATCCAGATTCCCGTCTGGGGTGCGTGGGCCCTGATGCTCCATTATGACGTGAACCCGAAGGAATCTGACCCGAGCTGTCCGTAGGCTACTCTCTTGCCTTTGGTGTTTTTGAGGAATACTACGGAAGTCATCCTCATAAGCTCAAGGGCGATGCCAGCAACGTTGCAGTGATTGGGACAACGATGACTGTACGTCCATGTACCCATGTTGAGAGCCTGACGACAACCAACAATTCTCACTTACATATCATTATCTACATGTGCTAACAACGTCAGGGCATCATGTACCTCATCTCTCCTTTCACATTCACAATCCTGAGCAGATGGCCTCGTCTACGGCGCTGGTTTGGCCCACTCGGGCTAGTCCTCACAGCAATTGGCTTCCTCCTGTCCTCTTTCGCGACAACAGTGTGGCATTTGATTGCAACGCAAGGCGCCATTTGTGCCCTTGGCTGTGGGCTGCTCTTCACACCTACGACTCTGTACCTCGATGAATGGTTCGTGAAGCGAAAAGGCCTGGCCTACGGCGTGATGTGGGCTGGTAAGTCTGCCGCTGGTGTCGGGCTGCCCTTCGCTATGGAAACTTGTCTGCAGAAGTTCGGACCAGTAGTCACGCTTCGAGCTTGGAGTACTGCAACGGTATGCTTCGAATATTCATGTCCTTATGAAGTTGCAAATACCATACTCACAAGCTCACAGGTTCTCGTCTCGGCGCCTCTTCTTTACTTCCTGAAACCGCGAATCCCCCTCTCCCAATCTTCTGGGGTGCGCCGAATCAATCTCAACTTCATCCACCTCCCCTCATTCTGGATGCTCCAAATCGGCAACGTCCTCCAATCTCTCGGCTACTTCCTCCCCTACACCTACCTCTCCACCTACGCCGTCCAACAACTTCACGTTTCGACCACCGTCGCAACGACCCTCCTCGTCCTCATTAACGTCACCTCCATTCCCGGTGGCATAGTCATGGGTAGCCTCGGTGACCACCTCCGCGTCACCACCGTGATTCTCATCTCGACCATCGGCTCAGCGCTTGCTGTTTTTCTCTTCTGGGGGTTTTCGAGCCAGACGTCGCTGCTAGCTGTCTTCAGTATCACGTACGGCTTCTTCGCCGGCGGGTTCAGTTCTACCTGGTCTGGAGTGCTGTCCGAGTTGAAGGCTGAGAGCCCGGCGGTTGACACGGGTTTCATCTTTGGGTTATTGGCTGGTGGTAGGGGGATTGGGAATGTGATCAGTGGTCCGTTGAGCGTGGCGTTGTTGACTGGTGATGGGTGGATGCGCGATGACAAGAGTTGGGGGTACAATGGACAATATGGTGGGATTATCTTGTTCACAGGCTTTACGGCAGTGTTGGGCGGATGGGGTGCGCTAGGTAGGGTCAAGTGGATATGCACAAGGTGAGGTGAGTGCTTAGATCTGCACCTAATCGATGGAAGTTCATTACCTCAGTCGGGATCGAAAAAGGACAATTTGGCGAATACTAAGATACATCAAGTTTGCGTAGACTTCCGCCTTGAGGAGGCAATATAGACACAAAACATTGATCATGGATAGACATTATTACTATTGAAATCTCTATAGTTCAATTGTGGCATAATCCTCAACCTTCCGCGGGAACATGCTCGTCATTACAACCATCCGCCTAGTGGTTTCTCTTGTAAATAGTACCGTTTCCGGTAAAGTCACCAGTCTGGGTAGTGAAGTCATCAGTGTTGCTAAAATTGTCGATCTTTCCGAGCAGAATCTCAAGCATGCGGTACGCGACACCAGGAGTGTATCCGGGCAGCTCATGGCCGGCAAGACGAGCAGTGTAGAAAGTCAATCCACGGTCAGCGGTCCACACACCCTGGATACCAGCGCCGGCGAGCGCGCCACCGTTGTACTCGGGGTGGTAGGGGGCGATAAGAGGGGTGGTGGGGTACTCCGACAGACCCTGTGCGCCGTTCCAGGTCATGTTCTGGATAGCAAAGAGCGTACCGTTGGTGCTGAGGAGCATGTCGAGGTCGCCGGAACCGATGATGGTGTTGTTGGTGAACTCGATGACGCGCTGCAGGGCACCAGTGATGGCAGGGCCGTTGGACTGGTCAGAACCGCGACTAGTACCGTTTCCAAAGACGTTGACGTCGGTGCACTGCTGCCAGTCGGAGTTAAGGGGCGCGTTGAGCGCCTTCTTGACATCGGTGCGGTTGAAGTAGATCTCGGCGCCGGGTGGGGTGTAGTCACCGCTGTTCACAATGCCGAGCTGTGAGTACGGGTGCGGGCAGGTCTCGGTAATGTGGTAGATGTTGAAGCAGGGGTTGACCTCGATGATGGCCTCGTAGAAGGTGTCGAACATGTCGCAGGCGTAGACATCGCTGTTGTAGGGATCGGGCAGGACGGGGAAGGGCTCCTGGGGAGGCGGGAACTGGAAGTAGGTGTCGAGGTAGGAGGAATAGTTGCACGAGTCCTGGCGGTCGCGGACTTGCTCCATGAAGGTCGAGTTGAGGTAGAAGAGATTATTCCAGAACTCGACGTAGGGGAGGATGACGACCTGCTGCTGGATGGTCTCGTCGCCGATGATGGGGTCGTTGATCGAGATACCGGCGAGGTTGAAGTAGTCGGTATCGTTGGCGGAAATGAAACCGTCGGCGATATATGGGACGTAGTATCCGGCGTACGACTCTCCAGTGATGTAGGTCTTCCAGGTCTTGAGGTCAAAGGTATCGATGAAGCTCTTGTAGAAACCGCGGAACTCAGTCGCAAGCTGAACCTCGTCGGTAATGTTGGGCACTCCCTGGGAGTAACCAACACCAACAGGCTGCTCAACCCACAGCATGTTGGTCAAGTTGGTCCATGAGTAGGGGTTTTGAACGGGGGCAAGCGTGCCCGCTTCCCAAGTGAATGGGCCGTTCTCCGTGAGGAAACCGGACAGAGAAGAGCATCCGGGTCCGCCATTGAGCCTGTCGCACGTTAGCAGGCTGCACTAGATTAATGATGGCTCCATCGCCTTACCAGATAACCACCTCTTCAGGAGTCTGCGCGGCTGTTGAGGGGAAGAACCAGAAGAAAAGCTCGCGGGTCTCGTCGGGGCTGTCGGAGATGGGGAGCAATCCAGCGTAGGATTCGCCAATGTCGAAGGGCACTTCCGGAATGCCAGTGCCGTTAACAGCGAAAGCTTGAAGAGACGTTAGCTTGGCGACCGATGGCTTCATTCCTCGTTTTCTTCTTACCCTTGGTCTTTTCTGTCAAGAATTGGGAGGCGCGCTTCTGAATCTCAGGGTGAGAGAAGGGCTGGTTGGCCGCGCTGGCCGCGCGCCTCTCGACGATGGAACGCGGAAGCGTAGGCTTGGTCGGTTTCTTGAAAGCAAGCGCAGACGAGGCGCAAAGCAGCCCGCTGAAGAGGTTGAGGAGCTTCATCTTGAGTTTAACTGGGGAGAAACTGCAACGGGGAGAACGCCTCTACTCCTACCAGAGCTGGCCCGGCCGCGGTATTTGAACATCTTCGTAGATGACGGCATCACTTCACACCGGCCCTGACGCTTACCGCAGGCAGAAGGAGGAATACCAAAGTGCCCAAAAGTCCCCTGATAGAATGGGTCACTTCTCGATGATTGAACGGCGGTGGGTCCAGGCAGCTGTTGATCATTGGGTTCATGGTACGTTGGTCGGGAGTTCGGCATGCGAGAGAGCGTTGCTAGCCGGCCTTCTCCAAAGGTACCTTGGACTCATCTAGACCCGTCAGAAAGCTCATGTCAAGAAAAGTCGTGTTTAGATTACCTGAACCTTAAGGTCCTTTGGTAATGAACTTGTACTGATAAGCCTGATTGGTCTTCGCCGAGTCTCGGTGTCATGTAAACTCGATGTTTCCTTCTTAGCGACCAACGGCGCGGAGTAATCTGGCACTTCTGGGTATTAATCGCGTGTTCGGCTCTTGAAGGCCGCATAAAAGTTGTAAGACGACGCACCCGGGCACGAGCTGCCACCTTCCCCTTAAGGTTAAGGCGGGTCCTGCAGATCGACAATGAAGCTCCAACGGCCCTCCCGGCGCGTTCGTGATTCGATCACTGTGTCTTAGTGTCGTTGGAGCAGACAGGGCCCGGATAGATCAAGCTTCGGGCGCACGATGCAGCCGAAGTTTGGTCTAGCTTGGCGAAGCTTGTCAAGCTTGGCGACTCTTTGGGGGGCCGCGGCGGCAATGGGCGGGCTGTTTGCCTGGAGCCTGGAGGATCGATACAAACGCGGCAGAGCGGGAGAGAAACAAAAAGTCCGACCTCCCCGGCATATTAACAGGGGTCAAAGGTTCGCCAGCGTTGGGACCTGCCTGGGAGGTACTACGGTGATATCGTATTGCAAAGTGCGGGATGTCGCGCAATCACGACGTTGAGTGATGCAAGGTAAGGAAGAGCTCGATGCATACTTTATGAGGCAAGTAATTCGCTCATGTGAAGTGCACGGCTTATCTACTGCCCGTCACGTATGCCATGTTCTGCTTAAAAGTTCCAGTTCATCTTGTTCTTAGAAAGTTTACCTCTATGTGCCCCCGTAGGGTTGTGCTTGGAACCCCGCGTTATCGCCCATTCCTCGCTTAGTAACCAGAGACACTCCCCCGGCACGTGTAGGTCAAGAGTGGTTGCTATTTACGCCCCGCCTCCCTTCAACGAACCCGTTATTGACGGCGGGACAAAGTTGGCGCAACAACTCCATGGCTCCCTCAATCGCCGGCATCACGTGGTGCTAAGCGTCGACTTACTACTGCAGAACGATGGTCAAGACGGTGAAGACCAATCAAAGCTAACAAGCCCAAGAGAAGGATGACATCAGGCGCGTTGGCACCGCAGTCCGGTCCAGTGACTAACCTGTTTGGCGTGTCCTGAGCACTGCCCACGAGTCTCACGGCCACACCGAGCAACATGCCCCCTCAATCGCGTGCAGCATTTGCGGCGTGGTTGAAATGTAAAAACGGTTTCAGCCCTCTGTGCAGAAAAGAGGCGTAAATCGGCCAATACGATGACCGGAATGTCGTGGCTGAAGATGCTGACGCGGCAGCCACACTGTTGGTTGGCCTCGCAAGGCCCAACATCCATCCGTCTGACATCGCCAGAGCTGAAGGTAGATAACAACCATACTTGAACCTGACATTAAGGTAGCATCAACATACCCACAAGTCGATCGCGAATCTACCATCACAAAGAGCCGCAAAGACGCAACTGCGATGGGACCCTCAAAAACATCCCCTTCCGAGGCGGCACCAGCCTACGATGAGCACGGCTTCCACGACGAGCACCCCGTAAACGCATTCCCCCCTTCAGGATCAGCCTCAGCCTACGCGACGATCCCGCAGAACGACGAGCGCGACATCGAGCTGGCGCACAATCACACAGCGCCAGATTCGTCGACCCCTTTCAACCCATTCAAGCCGCATCAGCACTGCGAGACGTGCGACAAGTTCACGTCGGCGCGCGAGGTCAGGGCCAACGAGAGGCACTGCTGCCTCTGGGTTGCTATTGTCTTCATGACAATCAGCTTCTCGGTGGCGATCTTGGGAATTGTTGCTGTTGAGGCAAAGTTCAAGCATCACAAGGACTAGGGTTCAGATCAGAACTACGGCTGTTTCTCTAAGTTGTCTGTCTACTAGTCATAATCTTCTAGGGGTGGGGAGTTTCTCCACCTGGATTGGTGCGCAATAGACGTATGATCGATCGAGAAGTTGAATTCTGGCCCCAAGCAAGATGCTGGCGAGGATATGGTAAGGTACCTCAAGATTTGTGCTGCTTCCTCCAGTCCGGTCCTTTCCTACAAATGATCCAAGCCAAAGGCAACTCGGTTGCAAGGAGCAATGCATAGACAGCAAAACACCAACCCAAACCCGCAGCATCAGCAAGGGGCTGTAGTGCTGCAATGGCTGCACCCGCTCCCAAGCATCTCACTATGCTAGACGCACCCTGTGCTGTAGCAGATCTTTCGCAGTTGAGATCGGTCAAGAGTGTTCCTGTCATCTAGTTTGGTTAGAGCTTCGATCATCCCATTTTAGCTTCACAATATGCTCCGTACCGTGAACAGACTAGCGGTGGTGATTCCAGTAATGAACTGCATCAGTATCATGACAGCCATGTGCTAGATCATATCAGCAACGTTCCGCAACTCAAGATGGCAAGGAATCTTACCGCTCTTGTCATGAGAGCGAGACCGTATCCAACTGTTCCCAACGCGCTTATCGTAAATAAATAGTACAAGCCCTTCAGTCTGATTTGTTCAATTTGCACTTCAGAGGGTGTAGTGCTCTTATGTTCACTGTTCTCTGTTAGCTTGCTAGTTGCTCTTCGGTAATTCCGATTGAGAATTCTCCCTGTCCCTTTGATTAATCCAAGGTGCTTATTTTGGATAGTGGGAGATGACAAACCAGTTATAAATGAGCCTATGCCTCCAGCGACCCCAGACGGAATGTAAATCAACCCAGTGGTCAGGTAGTCTAATTTGTAGATCTCCACACACTGGGCGCCCAGCGATGTTTGCAGTGTCATTTTCACAGAATATGTGATGCCGTAAAGTAGTATCACTACAAGTGAGCTGCGGTCTTTCAAGATGGGGAGACAGGCGAATGGGTTAGGCCAGTTTCATATGGAAGTTTGACTTTTCAGCACCCGCACGTTCGTTTTCTGGGATCTGTTGCTGATCAAAGTGAAGAAGCTCCAGTAAATGCCTCTGACTCTAGCGCTTCCATTTCCCACGATGTTGCGCTGCGTCTCAGGGAAGAAAAGCAGCATGGTAAGCGTTGTGATTGAGATAACAATCACTAGAAACCAGAAGATCCATCTCCATCCAAGCTCTTGAGTTATGCTGCCTCCTATCACAGGCCCAAGGCTCGGGGCAATGTCCGTACTGAGGCATTCGTTAACGCAAATATTCACACAATCAACTGCTGAGGATGAAAGATGGACTTGCAAGAGTAGTAATACACCAACAAAACCGCCCCTGTCTTTCGGCAACGTGATGTCCGATATGACGCCGTACGTAATGGCAGTCAACCCTAATCAGTATTAGAGACGGTTCAGACACATGCCTGTCAAGTACTGGTCCTCACCAGAAGCACCAGCAAGGCAGGAAATTAACTTTGAAGAGCAATCCCAACATTTGCTCCAATCATCAAGACAAACATCAAGAGGAATATCGGTCTCCTTCCACTTTGATCAGCCATATCCCCCATAAAGGCAGGCGCGATTGCAGCGGTAAGCAAATACGAGGTGATTGTAAGATTGATCAAAAAGACCGAAAGCTTCAGATCTCGAGCGACAGGAACAAGAGCCGGATAGTATATATAACTACTCATGGTAGAAAACATGGCGGAAAAGGATGCACTGAGGCTTAACCAGTGTTTCTGCCCCTTGGTGAACACCGTAAAAGGTTCTTCCTCGTTGGCATTCTCTTTCGTAAGCTCGGCATTTTCATCGGATAAAAGGATAGGTTGCAAAGGCACAATGCCTTCGGCACTTTCAATAACGTGGTTCATCAGTCAGCCGGCCGGACCAGTCAGCCGGACGTTTTTTTCTAAACACACTTATGTCCAAACCACTTAAACCTTTGACGCGTAAAATCTCAACAACCATAATGCCAATCTACACCCAAGAAGACAAAGTCATTCTTGCGATTGAAGCGATCCGATCGACACGCGCTGCAGGTAGTAACTTGAGCATTTCGCGTGCCGCAAAGACCTACGGTATTCCGAAGAGCACCTTAGCCGATAGAATGAACAACCGACCGCGACGCGAACAAACTCAACCCCAACGACATAAACTCGATCCGATCGAAGAGAAAACACTTCTCCAATACGTTATTGAACAGGATTCCAGAGGATTTCCTTTGCGCCTTGGCGGTGTAGAAAATATGGCCAATCTCCTGCTGCGAGCGCGTAATGCCGAGCCTGTTGGCAAGCGATGGGCCAGGCGGTTTGTGGACTCACAGCCTGCTCTGAAAACCAAGTTTAATCGTCCATACGATTATCAAAGGGCTCTTCAAGAAGACCCAGAGGTTATTTCAAAGTGGTTTGTGTTGTTACGCAACATGATGATCAAGTATAGAATCCAAGAGGAGGACCTATACAATTTCGACGAGACTGGCTTCATGATGGGCATGATCACCGCGTCAATGGTGGTAACACGCGCCGATCGACGCGGCAAAGCAAAGCCTGTCCAGCCGGGTAACCGTGAATGGGCTACAGTCATTGAATGTATCAATTCGGGCGGGTGGTGCATCCCTCCGTTCGTGATCGTCAAGGGCGTATATCACCTTGCCAGTTGGACCACAGAATCAGGTTTTCCGAGCAACTGGGTCATCAAGCCCACTGCTAATGGATGGACGGATAATCAGACGGGTCTTGACTGGATTAAACACTTCGACAAACATACTAAGAACCGAACTAAGGGCGTCTACCGGATGCTCATTATCGACGGCCATGAGAGCCATTTATCGGCCGAATTCGACGATTACTGCAAGCAGAACAATATTGTAACGGTCAGTATGCCTGCACATTCGTCGCATCTATTACAGCCATTGGATATTGCGCTTTATTCGCCTTTGAAACGCGCATACGGTGATACAATCAACCTATTTATCAGAGCCTCCATAATCCACATCACCAAGTCAGAGTTCTTTATTGCCTTCTACCAGGCCCACAACAAAGTTTTTAATGAAGAAAACATTAGGGCTGCTTTTCAAGGCGCTGAAGTTTCACCATAGAACCTAGAGCATGTCATTGAAAAGCTTGATGTACGTTTACGGATGCCTATACCTCCTGTGGCCAGCCCTTCAACACCACCACCTTGGCAGTCGCAAACGCCCTCTAACCCACAACAAGCCGTCTCGCAGTCCAACTTTATCAAAAGCCGGATCTCTGCTCATAAAGGAAGCTCACCGACACCAATTATTGCTGCAGTTGAGCAATTGTCAAAGGGTGCGCAGGCAATGGCGCACTCAATCACTATTTTGACTGATCGGCTTCGTACCCTTGAGGATGCGAATGTAGCACTTGCTAAGCGTCGGAGGGCTAAAAGGTCGCGTGTGCAGCTTAGAGGGGCACTTAGTATAGAGGAATCTCAGGGTTTGCTGGAAGAGAAACAAAAAGGTAAACGTCCAGCACCTCGAGAGGATGAGGAGGGGGGTCCATCAAAGAGAGCCCAGCCGACTCGGAGACGCTGTGGTGCGTGTGGTAAGACTGGGCATAATGCACGAACCTGTTCCAAAGATGTCGAATTATCAGGAGATTCTGATAGCGATAACCAATAATTGATTTAATGCGTTGTGGTTGAGAAATACTAGATGTTGTTGTGGACGTGGGAAAAAACGTCCGGCTGACTGGTCCGGCCGGCTGACTGATGAACCACGTTATCGTTTACCCGTGTCATTTCGTCTCGGTGGAGTTGACCTGTCTTGAGTCAATGCAGAAGACGATAATGAACTGCCGGACACGAGGTAGGTAAGCAGACAGTTGCTCTGTCTCGGGAAGACGGTATTAAGGCGCGGAGTTCGCTCTTAACAACACGGAAAAGCCAAAGCCGTCATTTCTTGGGAGGCGGGGTGTCAGAGCCCTCCCGGATAGGGGCTAGTTAGAGGTAGTAAGGAGTCCAAGCAACAAAGGAGCAGCTCAGACATATATACAGCGCAGGGAGTACACGTCGAGGGAGGAGCAGATTTCAGTAATTCATCATTCTACCCCTAACTGCAGTTGGCCTCTGAGAGCTTTCACCCTGCGTCAACAATCCCAACTTGACACGGGGTCGCAACCAATCACATGAAATGAGCTCGTTGCACAGCAGATGATAGACAGTTGGATGTTGGCCCTCAGTCTCGTGGCAGGGGTCGCACATCAACATGACAACACCAAGTACAGGGATTGAATTCGGTGATCAGAAATTTTATCACCTCTTCTTAAGAAGTTGTAACGAGCCATATCAATTCGAATTCCTTGGGCATTGCATCTCCAAGTACTGAACGTTAACTAAATCAATTCAGGTTGAACTGGTGCAAGAATCTGGGGCTCAAAGGAAGCTCGTGCCTCTTTTAGTTCCTTCTTTTCTTTTGTCTCGCTTCTAACTCAGGCGCCCAAAAGACGCATGTTGCTGAGAAATCTATGGTACTTATGTAAGTTTGATTGTGCCCTGTGCTTTGAGTTCAAAATCAACGTACGCATCTCTCAGCTTCAGCTCATTGGGGTATAAGCTGGCCAAGCAGACCTGGTGGCGGATCAAGTAGATGATTATGCGGCTGTCGGCATCTTCTTCGGGTTCGGAGATCGGCACATGCTTCCAATACTCTCGGAAGTAGGCCTTTCCGAGTGGATATCTCGGATTGCGGAATGGTGCCAGCTCGACTTCATAGGTGTCAGTATTGGCAGTATCAAATCCGATAGCACTATCGCACTATGAGGTTAATTGTTTCCCAACTCACTTTCGTTATGCGCCCATAGGGCGTTTGCATCGTACACAATGACTGCCTCGTTGTCCAGCTTGTATTTGATGTTTCCAGGCCAAAGATCTGTGTGGCAGAGTGTTGGCTTGATGGAGCGGCCTTCCGTCTCTAAGGGATGCAAGTATCGAGGAAGCACTGTATTCAGAAAGAAGTCCAATGTTGCCTCTTCTTCTGTGGCGTAGACGCCGCGAATGAGTCTTTCCCTTTCCAAAAGAAATCTCATATGAGTCGTCCACCATACTTCCCAGGAAGACTCCCAACCGTTAGGCTATGTTAGGTTGTCGAAGCGGGTATTCACTGAGAAGCCAAACTTTCCCGTGGGGGATTTCCCTGCGCTACGGAGATGAAGCGCACTTGGGACTGCCATATATGTCTCCGAGGGCGGAACATCATCGTCGATCATATCCTCAAACTCCAGGAGCAGAAAATATGTGTCCGTCTGAGATGCATACTTCCCGAATGCGACTGGCCGGGGGTATATTCGGGAATGAACTTGTAGACACTGCTCTCAGAATGCCAATGTGCTCGATTCTGTTCTAGGCCCCCCTCACCTCTTGCTTTCTGTGAAGCCAGTAAGTTAGTCAGTGGGTGTACCATACGAACTCAGTAACACTTTCAAACCGCACCTTTTCGAAGAATCGTCGAATGCTTCCATCTGGAAGCTGAATATTATACTGTGTAGTGTCACACCAGTCGCTCAACCCTAAAGAGGTTGTCTCGACCACCTTGCCGTCCTTGGGAAGTTCTTCAAGGGAAAACTCAGCACACCATCGTTGATGATTGATAGAGCAGACTTACCTGCGAGGTTCTGATCTACAGCCACGACGATGCGGTCGCTTGCCATGGCCTCAAGTTCTCGAGGTTCTAACGTCGCTGGTTGATCGTTTTGGAAATGGCATCGATGGTTTGACTTGGTGGACCTGGGCGAAGTTTTGTGCTTACACTTCAAGGCTCAGGCTACCAATGTAAAGTATTCAAGTTAATCGAGGGGTGTAAATTTGCTGAATTAGGTATGGTGATGGCCTCCCCTTGCTTGGGTTGACTTGTATGCGTTAACAAATGATTGCACTTGCGGTAACTAGCGCTGCTATACTATTCCTTCTTTCTGGCGTACGGGCGATCTTTTGATACGGACGGTGTCCAAGGATAGTGTGGCTATTGCATACAGGGATAAGATCATCATTATTCGAGGCTTCTTGGACTTTGACCAGAAGGTCAATCAGCAGGAAGATATTATACCTTAATAGTTCACATCAAATTCATTTTCACAGGCGCATAGGTAGCATTAGGGTTATACTGCATATAGACGCATTGATGGTTTCTCGGAAAGGCCATTTATCTCCATGTCGCGTCGGCGTGAGACAGACCCATCCATCTAAGCTATCGATGAGGAGCTTTAAAAGCAATGAGGCAAAAGACTGATTCAAAGTGATGTAGTAGCCACCGTTCTGTAAAACCGGCGAACCTAGCACTTCCCAACCTAACCCTCCAACTTGTTGGCGACGTGGATCTCGCGAACATTAGTCATGTTCACACCCACAAGCTTCCAAGCCATGACGCCCTTCTCGATATCACGATCCTTGTGATCGAGCAAGATGTAGCTCATGACAGGATCGGTGAAGTTCGCCTCCTGACGGAAGTAGTAATCCTGCTTGTTCTCGATGAAAGTCTGCTCGTTGTCGGCATAGCGCTCGTGCTTGCGGAAGGTATCGACGAGCTTCTGGTCGAGGAAGAGCTGGCCCGCGTGGGTCGCGACGTTGTCCTGGATGGTGCCGTTGGCAAGGCGCTCGGTGCCGGAGACGTGGGTCATGATGTGGATGTGGGGGGTGCGACCGGAGTAGTGGCCGGGCAGGTTGGTGCCGAACCAGACGGCGCCGTCGGCGTTGGTCTTGCGGAGGCCGCGGTGGAAGGTCTTGTCGCCGTTGGAGGGGTCGGCTTCACCTGCACCGTTGGCATTGGAGACAACGCCAGAGTAGATGCCAGTGGAGTTGGTGTCTGCGTGTTGGAGGTTAGTTGGATGTTGAGGATTTGGGGGCAGGAGAGGTATGGACTTACGCCAGACTTCAACCCAGATGTCGGGGACAGGCTGGCAGGTCTCGGTGTCGATGATCTGAAGGTCCAGGTACATGGGGATGCCAGACTGGCCATCGGTCAAGTCGAAGCGGTCGAGCTCTCCCTCGACGTCTGTGGACGATGTCAGCAGATTCCGGTGGATGATACACAATCGGCTAGAGAGGAAGACATACAGAAAGGTCCCTCAGTAGTCTCGATGCTAAGAACGCAGCCGTCATCACGGGTAGCGAATATATCGACGTCAGGAGTGCGCCAGTTGACGCTGTCGTCAGTGATCTCATGATCGGTCTTCAGGACGGAGTCGACATCACGCACGGTGATGCCCAGGTGACGAAAGGTATCGGCAAGCTGGGCGCGGCGATAGGCAGCCTCGTCAATGTAGCTGCGCTTCTCAAGCTGGATGTTGCAGTGGGCAAGGTTCATGGCGTTGTTGAGGGCGTAATCCTGGCGAGCGGCGATCTCAAAGGCCTGGTTGATAATTCCGTGAGCAGAGCAAGGGCGGATGATAGAGAGCATGCCGTAACAGACGACGTAGCCGCCGAGGTATGCCACTATGACAGATATCACAAACTGAAAGAATGTGTTGGTCTTTCGCTCGGGTAGCATGCTCGCCTCTGTGACGATGCGGTAGTGGGAAGCAGGGTAAGGCGCAATTTGGCCCTCAGCAGTCTCGTAGTAGACACGCACGCCGTGAGGAAGAGAATCCTCTCCAGCTGGATCTGTCATGTCAGAATATTTCTTTGAGATCTGTTTAGGTTGGGAGGCAGGGTAGGTTGCTTGAAATATTCGCCAATGCGATGAAAGGAAGGCGCTTGCGTTGTGCAAGTTGAACAGCGAAACTTTTGTGAGAAAATAAAGAACATACCAGCGACGACGCGAATATCGCGAATGTTCTGCACGTCCATTGTGAGTGACTCTCTGATGACTAGCAAAGAGCTTTGTTGTTGCGTCGGTGCAAAGGTTCTGCTAGAGGAGCCAAGATCGTGATGAGTGTTCTGCCAAAGGAGCAGGTGAGAGTGTGAGTGAGGAAGAGATTTCTTTTTTCGCAAGAGGAATTCAAGAAGGGAGGTGGGGGTTAGTGAGGTAGGGCTTGAAAATAGAATAATCGTCGTATTCACCTTTGATGAGGAGTGCCTGATGTATTTGAGAAGGTGAGCAGTGAATATTCACTGGATGAATCACAGGTGAGGTGTGAAGATGTGTGTCACATGCGGATGTCTTGAAGGAAAGCGTGGTGTATTATGACCTCAGGTGGTTTCTTTCTACCTTGATGCCTCTTATGGTCAAGATGTTCTGTAGAAACATGTACTCAGCAGACCGCCGTTCTTTGATCGGATTCTTCCTCCTCATGCCATCCGAACCAAGCCCTATCAGTCTTGCAATGGCATCTGTATAGCATCATTATTTCAAACTCCTCGGACGCCTTGTTTTATACCCAACTTGTCCAGCACTCCCATCTCATTCCAACCCAGTCTCCTTCCACCACTTAAACCGATAACACACAAGCCTCGCATCAACCTCCTTCTCAAACCTCTCCCTCCACCCCTCAGGCATCTCCCCATGGAACCTCACAACCTCCAACCCCTTCAACGCCGCCAACACCCCAAAGAACTCATCGTGCTTCTTCTCCGTCAACTTGGCCTCCCACACTTTGGGGTTCGGCGGCCCCGGCCTCGGCTCCCAATCCACAACAAGCTCCGTGAGGTCCTTCGCCCGCCGCGCCACCTCGGCGAATATGGCCAGCCACCGGTTCCAGTTGGGGTACTCCATGGCGATGAGGACGTACAGCCGGCGCAGGCGCTCGAAGCGCAGGGTCCCGTGGACGGCGAAGCCGATGCGCCGGTCGCCGTAGCCGTGGGAGTGCACGCGCATAATGGCGTCGGCGTGGACGGGCTGGTGGAGCTCACGATAGACGCGTTTGCATGTTAGCATGAGCGGCGGCAGGGGTTTCTTGTATTCCCCTTGCTCGAAGTAGACGTGCAGCGGCCGGACTGTGTCGCCAAAGTCATCGTGGTCGAACGGCAGGTAGTACTCGTAGATTTTCTCTCTGATTTCCCATGGGAGGCTGAATAGGCCCGAGCCATTCTGTTCCAAGGTTTCGCTCATGATGATTATGTGTGTATGGTTGTATGCATGTGATGGTTCTATCGTCATGTTAGATCGGGTAAATCGGAAGGATCGGGAGTCAGCGGCTGGGCGGAAGGGTGGCCCACATACATTCTTTATTGGTTTCCATGAATAATAAGCTGTGGCGTTTGATGATTAAGGCCGCAATTGACTTTCTTCAGGTTTCTCTACAATTGACTGGAAATCTGGTTCTTCAAATGCAAATGTCTGCCTGATACCACGCCGCTGCTGCCTGCGCGTTGGTGCATGTTGTTTCTGCGGGAACGTCTCACGACGTCGGCCAGCGGGGTTTAGCCCCGCTTCCGGCTGTTTAGACCGAAAACACGCGCTTCTTCGGTTTTAAGGTGCTGACAAGCGGGGTTCCCACCTTCGGCCCCGTCGGCCGCCCTCCGGTGCGGGTCTCCCGGTTGTTGCCCCGTCCAGGTCCCTCGCGGTTTCCCTCTTCGTCCACCGAGAGGCGGATGAGACGCACCTGCCTTGGAAAATGGAAAGCACTCTGGCAAATTTCATAGATTGTGCCGATGAAGTACCAGGTCACATCGGTGTGAGCTTGCAAGAGTGGTGACTTTTGATTTCCTACACAACATTACATCAAAGAACACCCTCCAGCACAATGTCTCCCCTCCCTGGCGGCCCCAACTTCATCTCCTCCACAGCCTTAACCCACTCCTCCATCGTATTCACATTCGTCAACCACCACTCACACCCAGCCGGCGCATCAACCATCAACCCGTCAAGCTCCCTCGCCGTCTCCTCAGGCCGCGGATGCCCTCGCGCAACCCGCTCCGCCAAACGCGACAGCGCAGGCGGCGCCCAAATCGCCAGCAGCGGCTCGCATACCCCCTCCGCGGTACGGAAACACGTCACGGGCACGGCGTCGCGCTTGACGAACAGGTGGAAGAAGGCTTCCGCTGGGATCAGAGGGTAATCGCACGCCAACACGACCCAGTACGCCCACGCGTCGTAGCGGTATGCTGCGAGGAGTCCTGCGGCGGGGCCGCCGGCAACAGAGTACTTTGCGTCTGCGTTTGCGGGGTGGTAGTCGCGTAGAATCTGTATCCTGGGTGTTGATGGTGTCTTGCAGTCTTCACTCCCGGGGGACTGGTCCGCGGGAGTGGTCGCAGCCTGTGCCAGCAATTCGTCGAGAAACTCATCTGTCTCGGAGTCCTGCGCCAGCGAGATGAAGATCGTCTGCGGCTCCGGGAAGATGGTGCGTAGTAGTTGCAGCTGCCGCCGGTACAGGGGTGTTCCGTCGGGCATCCGGAGGAGCTGTTTGGGTGTGCCCATCCGCGTCGACTTGCCGCCCGCCAACAGGAGTGGCCTCATAGCCGGTAGTCCCATGGTTTTGAGTATTTGATGACTGTCTCGCTTGATGATCTACCCGAAAGGTTGGGAACCAACTGTTGGTTTTGAGTTCTTCTGCCAGAGGTGATTTGATGCTGTTCACAGGGACCACGAATGAAGTGGGAACGGATACACGGCATATAGCTTGAGGGGATACCTTTAGTGAGTAAGCCACGTCTGAACGCTTTTACATCGTGTGCGACACGATGTTGTTCCCGAGCGTCATGATTACGGCATGACGCAGCTGGGGCTAGTGTAACAATCGACAAAGAACCGATCTACCCGTTGATCTATCCGCCTTCTATCCGCCCAGGCGTTTCCCGTCTGGGCGCCATGCATATCATCTAGCCCAACCTCTCCATATCCTCCGCCCCCAGGTTCCATTGTGCCATGGGGGAAGAGGGCTTCACTTTATCCCCTGTCTTACCCTTCTCTCCAAATCCTTCCGTTGTGGAACATCATCAATAGGACCACCAATCATCACAGCATCAGCACCAACGTCCCATCGTATCATTCGATGAGTGTCTCCAGGATGCCATTGGTCTCGAAACGAAACAACCTCCCCCCTCAACCTCAACCACCACAACCACAGCCACCACCCCGTGGATCATCATCAATCCGAACTTCAATCCGCGACTTCTCCTCACAATGGTTCCTCATTCCCCAAGGAACAGCAATAACAGCAACAGTCCTCCACCAACTAGACTACCGCTTCCCAGGCCTCACAACAATAGCCTACATCTTCTGGGCAGCCTCCATCCTCCTCCTACTACTGATGCTAACCCTCTACGCCGCCCGCCTAACCCTCTACCCAACACCCACCATCCGCGCCCTCAAACACGACGACGCAGAACTCGCAGGCCTGGCCAGCATCTCCATAACTTTCACCTCCGTAACCCAAACAGCCTCCCTCGCCCTCGCCCCCAGCTCCCGCGGGCCCTGGAGCGCAACAGTCCACATCCTATGGTGGATCTCCTTCGCCCTCGCAACAACAACCATCCTCATCCTCCCCTTCATCTTCATCAAAGTCTACCCACCAGGCGTAGCCCACCTCTCCCCCTCCACCCAGCTAGCAGTCACAGCAGCGCTCACAGCCGCAGCAGCAGGCGGGACCCTCTGCACGTCCGCAGCAAACCTCACCAGCGCCCAACAGGTCCCCATTATCGTCGTATCCTACCTCCTCGTCGGCATGGGCCTGCCCCTGGCTTTCGCGCTAGACGTGTTATTCTGGGCGCGGCTGCTGGGAAACTACGAACCTCCCAAGGAGAAGGCCTTTCAGGACATGATCCTCTGCGGACCGTGGGGTCAGGCGAGTTACGCGCTGCAGATACTGGGACAGGCTGTCATCGGCGGCAGCTTCGCTTCGTACACGGGTAATGGCGCCCTTCTCTCCGCGGATGCCGCTGCCGCTCCGGTGGGCTACGCGAGTATCTTTGCCGGTCTCGTGGCCTGGGGTCTGGGGACGTACTGGTGGCTCTTTGCCATCCTGGGCGTCTTGCGCGCCTTTTTTGAAGGGGGATGGAAGCCGAATCGGATCCCGTATACTCTTGCTGGATGGGCCATGGTTTTCCCGTGGGTGAGTTTTTGCCCCAGCGTTTTCCTTTGAGTCGGCTTTAGAGGGGACTGCTAATCTTGCAGGGCGTCTACACTAATGCGGCACTTCAGTTGGGTAAGATTTTCGGATCCCGAGCCTTCAAGGTGTGGTCTACCTGTTTGGCCGTCATGTTGGTCCTGATATGGCTTTGGAATGTCGGCTTGACAATGAAGATGCTTTTCGATAAGTGTAAAGCTAAAAGACTCGTGCTGGCCTCTGCATAACGAAATAAGTTCGTATTCCAAACTAAGAACCTCAAGAACTGTGCACTCGGGGTTGAGCGTGACAGTCACGACATGGCCATGGGTTAGGTGTTTGCCGTGCTTTAGAACCCAAGTCCTCAGCCTCGCTCCTTGCGCATGCTATCATGAGCCACGAAATTCCTTATTGGCCTCTCAGACGTAGTCTCAGAATATTCCATCACCAAGAAACTTTCTGTCAAAGATTCAACAACTTGCCCATGGCATCAATCACTTCCTTCAAATATTTCCTTGCCTGTTTCGCAAACAAGACGATGAATCTAGGCTCCAGAATCATTGCCTATACCCAACGGCATCATCATATTGTCATCTCCGCCCCCAAAGCCTACCAAAACCAAGGCAATGGAACGCAATCCGAAACACGTCACTACCCTAGATTGACGTCGACAATTTATCAAAGGAGCCTTCGTGGCGTTGGTAACTCAACTGCCATTCTGCGACAGCCTCATCGGCACTGACCGTCTAAGAGACACGTGAGAAACTTATGTCATCGCGGGACCATTAGAGACCTTTTGCGGCAAATGCCGCCGCATTATTACCATTTACACCAGTTCATTTGTAACCAACACAGAGCGACACCACGTAAGGGCAATATTGCTTGTTCTCTGCAAAGGAAACCTTTTTGTTGACCTTGTGTATGACTGGAGCAAAAGTAGACATTCGCAACTCTTTTAGCATGCAAATGCAAGAGCCAAACGAACAGCATGCCGCAAGTATAAAGGAATACCAAATCTTCCCTCCCTATAGACTCCGAATTACCCCTCGTCCCACGTGCCGAGCCTAAACTCCGTCAAGGTAGCAAGAATCACAGACCCAGAACTTTCCCAAATCAAATTAGGGGTATGATGCTGTCCATCTATAGCGCGGAAACCTCGAATTAACGCCTTTCAAGTGACCCCCTTATTGCTGTGCTTGCATGTTCGTTGTGTGGTGTTGTCGTCAAATTTCAAAATAGGAAAACCGCTGTGCGGGTGTGTACCAAGGTGTGTTGGTGTGTTGTCAAGTTTCAAACGAACCCTTTAGGGTAGTGCAGCAACGCTGCCCGCCAGTAGTGCGTAGTTGGCGAGCTTGAGAGACAAGACTCGCGATCGAGGGTAATCGGGGCTTATAATCATGCGACCGTCCTTGTTGAATCCAACCTCGCCAAATGACTCGCTTAGCTGCTCAAACTTTGCGTTCGGCCGGACTCGATTTAGCTCTGTCAGGATGTTGTCGCTCCAGACTCCGGAACACCAGCCGTCTCTCAGGACAAAGTATGGATTCAAGGGAGGGACGGGAGAGTCTGGCACTAGTTAGCAAGGGGGGAATCTAGAAGATGCGAGACATGACTTACCCAAGTCCACGAAGCGAATCCGCAGGTAGTCCAAGGCCTTGAGAGTCGACATTGAGTGAATGCCTGCCAACACAAGCATCTCGAAAGAGTGGATGAAATTCATGTCCTGAATACCGCTGCCAGAATCATGGAACTGCGGTACAGGGCGACAGCAGTTCTTGACCGTCAGATCAATCGTCTTGAGGCGTGTCGTTCTCGAATCCGATCTAATCGCCGCCATGTTGAAGAAGTTCTTGCAAACGCGACCGGTGTAGGCCAGATGCTCTAGCGCCGGAGTTGCCTCGGCCAGCTTTGTGCAGAAGTGAACCTGGTTGGAAACCTTCATGTAAAACGGAGGGCACGTGAGCTCTCGACGGTAGTCGCTTTCGAGGCACAGGTTGAGGTAAGTGAGATTTGTGGGAAGTTTAGGTAGAATGCTGGCCATGCTCAGGTAACTCTTAGACTTGGGCTTGCTGTAGGAGCCATGCCACTCGTTGAGGTTTGGAAGAGCTGCTAGGAAGGCTGAGAAATCCGAGTCTTCGCGCATCAAGTTCCACTGGCCTTTGGTGACCAAGGTGCGAACCGAATGCAGGGTCGGCAGATGCCAGCCAGCGGGCCGCTTATGCCAACTGTGCTGTACCTTTGGTGCCTTCTTTCTTTCGCCTCCCTCGATGGTCAGAACGCACACGTCAGGTAGGGCCATCGAAACAAAGGTGAAGGCTTCATCGAGACTGCAGTTGTTGGCGGGGAGAGTATAGGTCGCATTTGTCAATCCGTCCATTGTGACCGTGGGAAGAGCAAGAGTAGTGCTCAACGCCAACGGACCGTACTTGGGCTGGAAGACTGGGAACCAAATCTCAATGTGCTTGACGTAGTGCCGGAGATGGTTGTGTTCGCTAAAGTACATCATGGCCAGCTCTAGCGATTCGATGGTGGCTTTTATCTTGATGTGACGATACAGACGCTCCTGAATCAGGATTCTCCAGACGGGACTGACGAGAGCAAGCTCCGACAACTCTCTGCGTCGCGAATGACGAAGTGCGGTTCCCCAACTCTTGGTCACGCTCTGCATGCCCACCGAGCTCTTGGAGTTTGTGGATACTCGGTATCCGAAAAGGTGATCGAGGATGCATTCGTGAATCTCGGCTGGCAAGTCATTCAGATTCAGGGAGGGCGTGACCTCGGGGGTCTCGAGAGTATAGGAAGGAGTGGTGATGCCCGGGCCTCCATAGGCATCGATGTCGTCGGCCATCGGAGTGCAGCAATCCGAGTTCCGTTGATCGGGGTGTAAGAAGGGCGTGCTGCTTGGACGTGTCGGGGGCACGAATTCATTGCTCTTTGCCTGCTCGAGAGGTGGGCTTGATGGGCCGGGGGATACTGGGTTGGATGAGGTGTTCAGTATGGTTGAAAGGATGGAAGCAGAGGCTGTCATAATCGAGGTCAACTCTTCAGTGACGTTGGCGTTGGCATGGTAGTCGTCTCGCGACTGTCGCTTATCGATACCGGAGGGGTCTCGGTCTCGGGGGACGTTGTTCGCGACGTCGGCGTCGTCGTCGGTTGAAGGAAAGGACTGTTCGACGCAAACGGACATGGTCGTCGGGGCGGAGAGGAGGATTCTTTGGATCGAAAAACTAAGATTTTCGGAGAAGGGGGAGGATTGAAGCCGTTCCTAGATCATGGCCAGACGGTATCCAAGGGGGAGAGGACGGGGAGCGGCGGCGGCGGCGGCGGCGATAGCGGAATTGCTGATCAAGCGGAGGGAAAAAAGGCGAAGGGAGATTGGCTCTGGACTGCTTTGACGATGGTGGGGGAAATGAATGTCCCAATTATTCAGAGACCCTGGATAACCCAGACCGGGGGGGTCACAACAATGCTGAGCAGCTGTTTTGGTCGGCTGGCGGCCGTATTCGTCAGGTTGGTCCCAGTGGAAAGTAGCGCTGCGCTGGGGTCTCTTCGCTTCGCCCAAGCCACTTTACGCGGTCGGTCGCGTGCGCAGCGGCAGGGAAATGGCCCAATGAGTGGAAGCGCCGATAAGAAGGACGGCGGCGGGAGGGGAGGAGACGAGGAGAGGAGGGAGGGGGTGGAGGCCAAGGCGGAGGGAGAAAGTTGTATGGCTAGGTATCCGGAGTAGATGGTGAGAGGGCGAAAGGTATGATACCGGATGGAGTGATTGGTGGCAGACAGTACGGAGGCTTAGTCGGATGGGTCGAAAGAATGGAAGTGTCGACTATTGGGCGATTGAGAATGCGAGCCCGAGAGATGATGATTTGGAGAAGAGAGAGAGCCCAGGAACACACGGCGATGGAGGAAGAGGGAACAGTGTTCGTAGGTGTTCCGTAGAGGTGGATTGCGGCAGAAGTCGAGGAGAAGCCGTCGTCGTAAGAGGTCACCTTGCAAGACAAAGAGAACAACAAAACTAAGAGGAGGCAAAGGTAGAGGCAGAAACCGGATGTGGATGTGGAAAGGGTTGTTGGATGTTCAATGCTGTGTCTGGAAATGAAACGGGTACCGGACATTTGGAAAATGGTCGAGCGGACGGGAAGCGCAAGGCAAAGGGAACTTGGGAAGGAAAGGGCTGCGCTGCGTCCCGGTCTGCGCCTGCGCCTGTGTTCTGCGTTAGGTGAGGCAGCGGTGGTGCGGGAGCGGTGCGCCGGGTTGCGGGTACCGGTGTGGCACGGTAAGCCTGTAAGGTGAGGGTGCGGGCTACCTAGACGGTCAGGTAAAGGGAAAAAGGGGAGGCGACCCCGACTGCGGCTTGTTGTTTATGCCACCAAGGTACTCCGTAAAAGTAAGGTAATTACTTCAGTCTGTCTGTTGATGCGTTGGTGAGGCAGGAGAACTGGCGACGGGGGTGGCGTGATTGGCTTCGTGTTTCCGCAGTGGGCAGGCAGTGAGGTGTGGCACAAGATTGGACGGACAGAATGTGGCAACGACTCCGTGATGAGGTCAATAAACTGACGAAATATCTGACTGAGTCTTTTTGAGAGGAGAGTATGTGGTATGTACCAAAAGGTCAAGAGGGCGAGGAAATTACAGCCAATATTGAAGTGGTCTGCTTATGATGGACGGATACTCATTCCGCAAGTTATATTTATTGGCCGAAAAGAGGGGAAAGTAACATCAACAAGGCGACTTTTTCAAGGAAGCATGACAGGACAAAAAAACATGACGGCACAGAAGGATACACGGAACGGCAGTCGGTAGCTTATTTTTCATTCATCCAGCTACCTTATTCTACCACTCTGGGCCAGAGTTTCCAATGAATGCATGGATAATTACCTGTTGAACCTAACAAGGTAAGTTGACCTTTTGAGTTCAAATCCGTACCAAGTACGTAGTATATGTGAGGTGCAAGACGGCTGGTTGCAATGGTAACATAAGGCTGGGCCAAGGAATGAGGGAAAACTCTTTCCTCCTTCGCTGCATTTCTCCTTAATTCTTCTTCATTTGCCAGCACCTCGGCGACAGTTGCAGCAGTAAACAATCCTTCAAGGCCAAGAATGTACACAATCTCAACCTGAGTCTAATCAAGGTCCCCCACCCTGATGCACATCTCCCGGCATGCGGATACAAAACCACACGAATGTCCCGTTTGGCTGGCTCACTTGACACTCACTACCTTCACGGTACGTTCAACGTCAGCGCGCATTGCAGCCTAGAACGTCAGAGTCAAGACTCACTGCCCACCTCGTGGATGAGACGTGCACAGCCGTCCTTGCATGACGAGCTCCGAGAGCAGAGTCAGTCCCATCGCATCACCTTCTGGGTTGCAAAATCGGAGTGTAAATTACCTTGTGCCACTTTCTCGAGGTGTCTTATCGGCCGACTTTATCGCTTCGCCTTATCGCACAATCCTGGCTTATCGGAACGCTGCCAGTCACATGGTCGGGGGTCCACTCGCACAATGCCCGATGGCTTACATCAGCACTTGCATTGAACTCTAGCAGCGGAAAGACCGACGCAATAACAACGTCAAGCCATACATCCCACCTTTGAGCGATGTATGAATTTCGAATCTAACAACGGACTGTGGCTTCATCACGTCATTGGAACTTGCTTCATTGCTCACGATAGCATGTATCCAGATGTTGGACTTCCAGCCTCCTATATCTCATGAAATTCATTGGCCTGGATTCAAGGCATAGCTACTGCTGGCTACGCCTGATCCCAGAGTAGTCGATATGCGCCGTGTAGCCAAAGATGCTAACGGCATAAAGACGACGAGAAATTCGTCCACAAGGCCCAGACCAAGGTTCAGTATCACGATGAAACACCTCCAATTGAGTTGCTCGGGTAGGCTTCGCCAACCTTCTACCGTTTCAACTTGTTCTACAGCAAGCATGGCTGCTGCAACTACCAACCTATTTTTGCGAGTACAAGGTCACGCGGGACAGTTGAGTCAACTCGAGGGGTCGCCAGAGTTTAACCTTGAATCAATGTCATGACAGCGTTTGGTTGTAAGCTTGCCGCTGAGGGTTTGTCCCAGTCGACTGGCTGACCAAGCAATCCATCTCGCAGATAATCGCATTCCGAGTCGTGGCCAAGGGCATACTTTCTGATATTTATCAGACCGGATCCGGACCGAGTCAGATTGACAGCTATTCTCGGCAAGACCACCGACCTCAGGAATGCTGCGAGAATGGAACAAGGAATCAACAAAGCAAACCAAACCGCTCCAAATTATACTAGGCAGAATGGGAGGGAGACGCCTCTTTATCATTACCGCTGAGCCTCGGACTGACTCTTGCAGGCTTGGCTGCAACGCCCAAGCATTCGGAATTTGGAATCAGCCTCGAGCAATGCCAAGTCTGGACTCCAAGCGTGCCTGAGTCGAACATTGTCCCAGGCGCGGATTTTGCATTTCGCATTCTTGATTGATCACCATCTCGGCGTAAACGCCCAGCAAAGTCTAACAATGCTATTGAAACGACACGTGTTGAGCCGTCGCAAGATTTAGCCGACGTCCTCATGCCAACCGCTTCTAGAGCCTCTCGTTCGGATCACAGATCGCCCTGAGATGAAGTATCAGACCCTGCATTCCGGAATGTGGAGGGTAGCACGTGTCTCGACTCTTTTAATAGCAAAAGACAAATTGACTTTCCACGGCGCGCGGCGGATGAGCCCAACCCAGGGATGCGGTGTCGTGGGGCTCTGCCCGATGGGGGAGAGCCGAGAGATGGATGGCCACACCCGCGCGGCCGGGCTGGCGGCGGGCAACGGAGATGACATGGTCTCGAACTTGCAGCGGAAGCAGCTTGTTTACCGGCAAACTGCAAAAGGCATGACAACCGGCGAGGCCTTTGGCGGCGGCTCCGAGCTATCGCCATATTCACGCATCGATATCGAATCACAAACATGATCTACAGTATATGCAAACATCGAATTGCGTAATTCGCTGCACTCTGACACCAGTACAGTGGAAATACGCCCTTACTGCGGCACCAAACGTCGGATGTGCGGTACGAGCTGCTTGTGTCCCCAGAATTCGGTAACGTGTCTCGTACTCGAACGCGCACGCAGTGGTTCACTCCGAGGTTTTGTCAGCGGGATGTCAATAAGCGAGGTGCAATAAGTAATGGAACCATCCCCGAGAGCGACGTCCAAAAAGTCTTGGCGGTGTTCGAGCAGGGGAGTATCAGCATGCCTTTTCAACATCTCGAGACGAACAAGCGGGAAAGACGCGCCAATTCCGGGACAAGACAACCTAATGATGGAAGTCCGATGACGACTGATGCGGTTTGAGTATGTTCTTGTTGAAACCTGCCAGGGCGTCGGGAAACCCGCGCTGGTGACCACCACCCTCATACAGGCGGAAAACACTCGCACCACAGACCGGCCCCGACAATGATGGTCTCGAATGTACCTGCGACAAGCGAAAGAGAGATGTATGGACCATCTGGTACATCGGATTGTAGCCAAGTTGCGGCGTTCATTCGATATTGCTTGCGGCTCTGGAGAATTCCATCTAGGAATGGGCCAGCTGACAACTTGGAGCCCTCCGTTGGGGATCGACAGGCACACACACTCAACTGGGGCTGGCTGCAAGCCTGGCCAAGGAAGTTTGAAAGACGAGGTCGAGATTTCAAGATTTCCGAGGCGCTGAACAATGCAGGTAGTCTATCCATCGCCGGTGTCCGGAAGATGAGAAGCGGCGCCCTTTTCATCGGAGGCGGCGGAACGTCTACGTATCCGTGTCCGCACATACGCCGCGGCTCATCCTCGTGGGCTGAATGACTGGTCCAACTTCCAGCAATAACATTTCCCGGATTCCAGATTACCTTATTTCGGGTCTGGGATGTCATGGCGGATACGATGAGCTCACAAAGAACGGACCCGAGTCTAGAAGCAATCGATAAATTCGATATCGTCGAAGCGAGGAGACGAGCGAGCGATGTTTGTCTGCAGAGTCGCTTCGTGACGGGGGATGAGCCCCTCCTCGAATTTCCAAGCTCACGGCGGCGGCGGGCGGTCGAAGTGGACTGACCGAGGAGGAGGGAGGGGGGTTCATCGAATATCGCTTACCAACACCAGCAGGCCGAAAGGTCCTGAGCCTCGCAGCAGTTTGGCGCTTGTTGGTGGTTTGTCCCACCAGCGCATCGAAGCCAAAGTCGAGCACAACCGCAGGTCCACCCTGACCTGTCAAGAGTCGAGCAGACTACCACGGTTCACAGACAGGCTGAGGAACAATCAGCAAATGCATGCCTGGTGTGCCTGTCGTACCTGTCTACTGCCTGTCATTCAGTTCGATACGGGGCAAATAGGTTGGATGTCAGCCGTACTTTGTTATCATGGGATGGGATGGCGGCGCGCAGGGGACCACGGGCGGCTGTCGAAGCAGCATTCGTCACCTCATCCGTCTTCCACGGCGTCTCCATGCGGCGGCCCCTGTTCGGCCGGGGCTTCCCAGGCCAACCACGACTTGGGCAAATCTAGGACGGGCCTCATCCCTGCATGTCTCGAGACGCACGACTTGTCAAGGGCCGTCGATGTTTCATCCATTGTCATGTCCAAGTCTTCAGCCAATCAGAAATGGATATGTCCTCCACGCCACGCCGTTTCAAAGCTCCCGATTGGGTCGTCACTTTTTCTGCTCGACGACATCCTCGTCGATGGCTTCGCCCATGGCCCACGCTGCACGCACCACGCCCTCTCTGCCTTGGTGGGGGGAGCAGTTGAACCCCCTTTCAGCCGCGCAAAAAAATCAGCCCTTCGCCTCCATCGTGGGTCTTGTCTTTGTACAACACCCATGGACCATGGCATAATTATTGCTATCTATTAATCTATCTCAATCACGGTACCCTCACCGCTGGGAACCTCTCGGTCACTATCCTGTCTGCAGCTTTGCCCGGTTCTGGCATCCATCGGCTCGGTTAAGACTCATTAGCAGGGACGTGCCAGTCATGCTCTAGGGCTGGCAACATGTGGAAGGTATCCAAGTATTCGTATAGTGAGGCCTGGGCATTGTGAGAATAACATTGAACATCCAAGGGATTATCACAATGGCATATTCGGGTCTGACAAGGCGATCAACCGATGCGATGCAAGTGAGGTTTGCACAAGTGGCTAGCTACTGATGCAGCGGGGCCAAGCCTGTCATTACTCACGCACATCGTCTTCGTCTTTAGGCCGACGTCGGTTGGTATTCCTCCCACATGGCGTGGTACCGCCAAACAATCCACGGGATCCAAACGGACGGGAAACGAAGCTGAAGCGCGCCGTCGTCAGTTGTACGGTGAAAAGGAAGAAAGGATGCGTACAGCGAGCAAAATGTCAGGCTGCGGACTGCCCTCCCGCATCCCGAGAAGGCCGTATCGCTGCATCTTCAGCAGGTAGACTGCCCAACACTAGGTGGACCGACCTGCCTGCCTCCTAGGAAGGGGCTGTTTTGAGTCTGACTGGTTTCCAATCGCACGCAGAAAAGGCTTGGCTGTTAGACAAACCATACAATGTACAACCACGGGCAGGCAACGCTGCAGCAGTACAGCCGTTATGTGCGACTCCGAAGTACGCGGATACAACGTTGAGCAACTCAGCCTTGGCCTTGCATAATGCTCCTACGCATGCACAATTACGCAGGCTCATGTCCGCTAGCAAGCCACCGCTATTCGTACGAACCTGGGACCCATGAGCCCCAAGAGCGCATGGGGAGATCGCTCCATTCCGAGATGGGAGGCTCCCGAGATTGAACAAACGTGCGCGGCCTTTTTAGCTCCTCTCTCGTGCGACATACCTAGCCTAAAAGATTGGCAACGCTGTCGACGCACGCCAGATTACGAAAGACGTGCGGGAAATCATTAGAGGGTGTGGACGGTGCTTTGTCGAGCTAAACTCCAAGGGGAATATCTCTCGTCTGAGTCGTCTCTCAATGAGACTCAATCTGCTCATCCTCCCAAAGCGGGGACAATTGTTCGAACTTTGAACCACCAACAGGCACTGCGAGTCTGAGACGAGCCTCCCGAACGAACTATGAATGCCACGATGGGTGTCAGAGTTCATCGCAGCCGGGCCTCCAGATTAAGTGCTGGATGCTCTATTGACCCGAGTTGGCAACGGCGGATAGAGTTGGAGCCGTCATGCGGATCGTGCGGCCAGCCCGCCGCTCTCACTTTCGCCTCATTTCGGGGCGGCGGGGGTGGTTTGACCTTAATCGGTCCAGCGAACGGCTCTGCCCCGGCCGACGATCTCCTTGCGGCTCGAAATGAAGTCGAAGTCGGAAGTTTACGCACGGCAAAGTTAATTCCACTACAGAACTACTACCGCGGTACCCAGCGTGCCAGAGTACTTTGTAAAGGAATGCATCGAGTACTTCAGCCTCGGTGGTGGTCGTCCAGGGGGCTTTGCTGACTTGCCATTCGGTCTGGCCGCATTAACGTCGAAAATAGGGTAGAAGGCGGAGCAACCTTGCCGATCGGCTCTAAGCAAGGAACCTTGCAACATCTAGGAGCTGGATATTCTACCAGCCGGCGTCCAATTGATGAATTGTCTCGAGACTGTAGTGCAAGACATTCAACATCAAAGTGTCGAACACGAATCGATGCCACGACCCATGGAGATGTTGCGGGCAGAGCACGAATATTGTGTCACTTGACATTACCACTTACAGATACCTGCAGTATTCGTGCCGTCGACGACAACAACACGAGACTCGCTGCATGCAATCCTACCTAGCTAAGCCTTGTCGCTTGCTTGGCCCCTGGGGGAGTCTCGAAGACGAGCGACTCTGCACGACGGGAGATGGCCTTGGCACGTTCCCTCTGAGCTTCTTTTTTGGGTTTCTGCGACGAGAGATCGTCAAGATTTCCCACCGAATGCTGCGCTGCACTGGGCTGGGGAAAGGAAGATGTCTGACAGATGGGGGTGCAGTGGTGGCAGCAGCATCAGCAGGGGGGAAGAGATGTCTGAGGCCGAGGGGCAGATGGTGGTGTTTGCGACTCGGACGACGACGACGACGATGGCCGGCCTGGGCTTGCTCTTCTGGTCCGTTCTCCGCATTGCCCTTTCGAATCCCACGGCATGCCAAAACGATGCCACAGACGTCCGTCAATCTCCCGCGACAATCCCAAGTCTAACCCCAGGCTTGGGGAGAGGGAGGGGGGAAGCAAGAAGGGGAGGAGGGCACGGTTTCAACGGTTTCGAGAGCTAGGGCGACAGGTCCGCCTCGAGAGTCGCATTCGACCAAACGTCGCTGAAGAGACGGCGGCGTTGAAGTTGTTTACGTTTCTGCATGACGCCCAATTCTTTGACGCGGCATGTACTGATCTGGACCAGCTTTGCTTCTTGGTGCATTGAGTGGTAATATCTACAAGTCTATTGTCGACGGTGGCTAAGCAGGGCCAAGATGCACATGTTGTGTTACATTGTCGTCGTCGATTAGCCAGTCGGCGTCTGTTATTTGTGGAGGGGGAACGAGGGAAAGCATCACGGCGCATGGCATTTACACTTACACCGTGCTGGCCGAGCCGCAAGTCACGAGGAGGGGGGGGGGGGGGGGGGAGGTATTAACTTGGGTTATGCTCACGTCAAGATCGGGGCCTCCGTGCATCGCCCTGACGCCCCCCGTCCCGTGCCAAGTTGCCTTGGAGGAGATGGATTTAAGGTAGATTTGCTACTGCTCAGTTGTACCGTTACCCGTGTACGGATGAGAGGGAAAGCAAGAAAGGAAGAAAAACACATGGGAGGTCAGGGATGCCAGGAAAGAGGGGACGACAGACGGCAGTCGGTAGTGACAGCGGCGACATCGTCATGATGGTTGACGAGATTAAAAAAGCTTCAGCCACCCCGGGATGAGTGGATACAGACTGGACCAGTCGATAACGGGGTGACCTCACGAATAAGAGACATGATGAAGCTCTAGGGGGTGGGGAGAGGGACAGGAGGAGAAGACTGGATGACGGGTCGAAAGGTGAAGGCTGCAGATGCAAAGCGTATCTGTACATGATGGCTGCATCCATGGGTTTACAAGCATGGCCCGGGGTTGCAACTTGGGAGAGAACGACTCTGAGGGTTGCACAAGTTTGGAGATTTGTATATCAGAGACTCTGAAGTTTGTACAGGAGGGGATATGGACGACGCATGCCCAGAGGTATAGCGTAGAGTCAAGACATTTTGCTGACGACGAGAGTATCGACGAGACTCACGAGAGTGCTGACAGAGACAAGGCCAAGAGCCCAAGACTATTCGATGAGGGCATCGACTCGACGAGTACTATGCAGAGGGGGATACGATTCACAAGAGGGAGGGTCAACATTGAGAATCTGACTGCTCAGTGCTCAATGTTGACTGCAGAGCGAACAGGTTCAGGGTCGAGGGAGTGACAGATACCTTGCCACAGGACATAGGGACACAATACCGTCAGTTCGCGAGACCAGACAGGGTGGTCGACTTGACAGCTTCAAGGCCACCTACCCTAGCAGCAAAGCTGAGGTAAGGGGCTTTGCGAACTGGAGCCCGGCCGGGATGGCTGCGATCTAAAGACCGTGACGGGACAAGACCGGCTGAATAGAGCCCAGACAAGCTGCCAGAGAGTGCGTACAATTTGATACTGGTACAAGCAAACGGCGACTCGCGGGATTTGTCTACGAGGTACGGATAGCAGGGAAGAGGGCAGCAAGATGCTGTAAGACACAGACGATGAGATAAGGTACGGTTACTTCGTACAGCAACGGTAAAACTCCAAAGAGACGGCGACTGAGACTGGGCAACGTGGACAGCCGACGTGGACCATTTTGTGGAGCCTTTTCCAAGTTGAACGACGACGATGATAAGACGACAACAAGAAGTCGAACAATGGAGTCCTCTTTCTTTTTTTTTTCTGCCATGAGGCACTGGACTTGGACGTTACAGATTTAGTCGAAATGACAGGGTCGAAACCGGCGCTAGTGGAGGGGAGAGGAAAGGACGACGGAGGGGGGAGAGGGAGGATCGACGACGTGTGGACGTAGTCACCGTCCAGGATGGGCAGGACCAAGGGGGGAAAAGAGAATAAGAGGGGCGGCCTTGTTTGACTTGGCACGGCCAGTGAGAAGCGCGCT